TATATATATATATATATATATATATGATTGAGGTGCATAACCTTATCAACAGGATTCATTGTTTCAAACTTTTTGATAATTTAATTATTTATTGGGAAAAAATAACCCAATTGAAAATTCTAAACTTTCAATTTTTTATAGTAACGAATTCAGGAGTCATACGTGATTTAAAAACTACGCGTTATGATTCGTATTCACCCGATCTAGTAATTCTGCACAGTGATGTGCAGTTTAAAAATTAAATATTGCAAATTCTATTTCCTCATTTTTAAAATCCAATAATGTGATTCAGATTCACTCAATTTTAAAACCCAATGTCTCGATTCTTGTAAGAAGTAAGTTTTTTCTTGAATTGTTACTCTAAAGGTATGATATTCTGCATTAGTAGCTAATTTAACTATGAATGTTAGTTCAAAAAGTTATGTTAAGTATAAAGCGAGTATATAAATTGATATTGATTTTTTTCACATACAATTTCAGGGTTTTTCACTCTGTGCCACTATGACCCTTGTTTATGAAAAAATTTATCTTTCTTGTACTTAATACAGCAAATTATTCCTATTTTTAGTTTGTTATTTACCCTTAATTAAAAATATTCTGGTATATGTTTACTACTTCAAAGCATGTCCTGATTTTTTTCTTTGGCCCACTATGAAGCCTTCTTAGTATGCATTGTAGGTATATTTACGAGCAACAAAAGCATTAAAAGAAAATGGAATCCAGATTTGTATTGGTTGTTTTATTTTTTCACTGAATTTTGTGCTCTTCTATTTAGCAATGACTGAATCAGATTAATAAAGAATTGCCTAATTATATTTTAGAAATTCATCACAATACTTTTTATTTCTTATAGCAAAAAGTTTTTTAAAAAAAGCTTGATTAAAAAAAATATTATTTTAAAAATTTAAATTAATTGATTTAAATTAATCATTTTTAAAGTTATCAACTGTTTCAATCAATAAATCAATATTTGAAAAATCATATTCTAGACATGTTGGTTTTGAATAGGAGATTGTTTATGAAAAGTGCATGCTTTCCTCTGCATAACTTGAATTTTACATTCAAAGCAATCTCTGTTACTTTCTCAATGATGATGCTCTGTGAACTTATTTGAGAGAATAATTTGAGAATTATTCAAGTGTTTTCAAATAAATGATACTTTTGTGTTTATAACTTTCAAAATCTATATATACACTTCTCAATTCAACACTATCAATCTCTTTGATATGTAGTAGTACAACTATATGTTCTTTGTAAATGTTTTAGTTTAACTATTCTTTATTGTTTCTTCACATGTGTAACATCTAAATAACATGGTGCATGTTAAAATAAAACAAAATCTATTATGAAACTTTATAAGTTAGTTTTGACTTTGGTAATACATTTTAAACTTATGTATGAAACAAATCTTTTTTCATTTGGCATTTATTCCATATGATTTTTGAATTTAAGAAATCATTGCATCATGAATTGTGTTGTTCTTACTTTGTACTGTTGTACTTAATCTCTTTACTTTGTTTTCATTTTTATTTATTTCTTCCTTTAAAATTGTTTTAATTTTTCTCTAGGAAAGAGATTTGGGTGATGAGTATGGGTGGAAACAAGTGCATGGTGATGTTTTTCGAGCACCTATTTATCCAGCGCTTTTTACTTCTCTTGTTGGATCAGGATACCAAATAACTGTTGTCATTTTAAGTGTGATTATATTTTCAATTCTTGGTGAACTCTACACTGAGTAAGTATTTGTCTTTTTTCTCTTTTGTATTCACTTTGTTTGAATTCTTAATAAAGTATTAAATATGTTTTTAGATACATAGTTTTTTTTAATTTTTATTGCATGCATGTTTGAAACTTTTAATTATTCTTTTTTGTGAATATATTTAGTGTATTAACAAGAAAAAATCTATATTTCTATGAAGTGAATAATAAGTGAAAGTAATAAAATTCTGCAAATTATGCTGCCTTTATTTAAAAGTTGAATTGAACAATTATATGAAACACAATTTCAAATATAATAATTTGTAAATTTTAGCCTCATTTTTATTGTTATTTACAGATTTTTTTTTTAATATGTTAAAATGAGATATAATAGAGATTAATATGTTAACATGAGATTCTTCTTGTTTATTTTCACTTAAAGTTTATAAATATTTAGTAAACTTTAAAGTAAGTAGTAAATTTATAAATATTTAGTTAGTCATTAAAATATTAACATAAGTTAATATTTTAATGACTACTATGTATGTTTAAAATCAGGTTTAAATTAGTATGAAATGTCTGTATTTGTTAAGCCTAAAACTGAACTTTTTTTTATGCTAACTTAACTTTTTTAAGCTTAAAGGAAGGTTAATGTTTATCTTTAACTTTGTAGGTTCTTAAGTAAAACGTGATAATCTAAATTAACATTTTAGGAGAGGTTCTTTGCTGAGTACATCAATCTTTGTGTATGCTACTACTTCTCCTGTTAATGGCTATTTTGGTGGCAGTCTCTTTGCTAGAATGGGAGGTAAATGTTTTATATTTTTGTGACTTCTTTCAAACATATACCAAGGTTTCCTACAACGCTAACTTGTATTATATAACTACCAATATTTTCTATGTTTTTCTTGCTTTGAAAGCAAATTTAAGGTTGTTTTTCAAAGGCTCTGTAAACACCTAAAGTAACACTTTATAGCGAATAATGTGCTATTTTTTGTAACTATTGTGAGTTTCTTGCTATATTATATAACTATTAAGTGCCTGTGCCCACTATGCTCATTATGAAAATGGTGCAAAATGTGAATAAGAAGAAAAATCTCAGTTTTGTGAAAATAATAAATGTTTGTGATTTAATTTTTTAATATTTAAAAAGTTACTCCAATGCTGCATTTTCAGGCTTTTAAATATTAGCAAAAATTGAGAACTTTTAATGGATAATTATAATTTTCATCTTGACAGAAAAATCTTGCTAAATTGGTAATTTTAAAAAAAAATTTATATTTTTTTTAAATAATTAAGTTATTTTTTAGTAATCAAGTCCAAATAATTCTTTAATAGAAGATAGTAAATATGTAGCGTAAAATTACAGTTTTGCTTTGAATTTAAAAACTTAAATTGTGGCCTTTTATTTTTCTTCATGAAAAATTTTTAAAAACTTCCAATATCCTTGTTTACAAAATAAACCAATCAAAAGAAACATTTTAATATTATATGTTAAACTTTTTGTCCGTATAAATTGTGAATTGAATGTATTGCAGTAATACTACCAATTGAAAAATAACAGCATTATAAAAATAATATTTGATGAAATTACAGAAACTTCTAGTTAAACATGGCAAATTTGATGTGCTAGGGAGTTTTTTTTTCTTCTTCAAACTATTTCTGAGTTTTATTCCTTTAATTTTTCACATTTTAATCAAAACGTAATGTTTATTAACTGCTTTGGTATATTGCAAAGTATATTAATTTGGTATTTGGTTTATTGCAAAGTATATTAATTGTGGCCACCTGTATTTTCATTTTGACAAAAATATGTTTTGATTTACCATAAGGAAGAATGGTTTGTGTTTTCTTATCGGTTTTTTAGCTATAGTTATAACAGTTTTTGCTTGAAAATTGACCTCTTAACTTTCTGTTTGGACGATTTATATTTTGAAACAAATTTCCAATCTTATGCAAATTGATTGTTATTTGTTATGCAATTAAATGAATTGAAGGCAAATCTTAATTTTCTTTACAGACTTAATTTTGAAACTTGATGCTGACTTTTTTTTCTTATGCATACTTTGATTGTTATTCAATATGTAATTTAATATATTGAAGCTTTCTTTTATTATTCATAGAAAAAGTTTACCTTTTGAATTTAAACTAAATATAAATATTACTAAATAAGCTATCTTGTAATAAAAATTTAACAAAAAAAAAACATAATTCCATAACTTTCTTGAAAGTATTTCTACATGTTAGCATTGATCTTTACAATTAAAATATTGATGTCAATTGTAAGCACATACTTATATATTTTTTCACTCATGTTATTATAAGTAATTAAATAGTATTTGACAAAAATTTTGTATATATATTGCAGTAAAAGGATTTAATATATTGCTTGAATGCCAACTTCTATTACTCTTATTGCAATAAAGAATCTAATCACTTCTTCATTATTGTAAAGAGAAAATGCATTCATGTATATAGAAGTAATCTTTAAATCTAACTCATAAAGTTTGAAATATTTATCAAGTATTATATAATTTCTAGAATTTACAAATACAGTTTAGTTATTTAAGAAACCAAGTTGGGACCTTTTAGCTTGAAATCTCTGATTAAAAATCAAGCACTTGATTATTTATTATAACTGCCATATGATATTCAAAATGTTAGCACTCAAATATTACATTTCTTAACTTCGCACTATTTTTAGAGCAAAAATATTGAAATACCAACTTTTTATGCTAGTATTATATTACTATCAATGATATTTTTTTATTAACAATTGTTGAGAGATAAGATGGATTATACTAACTGTAGTTCTATACTCTAATATTACATTTCTTAACCAACTAAATATTACTGTTTTAAAAATAAAAAAACATGAATATGTTCTTTCTTAGATATACTAATTTTCTTTATTTATAACATTTCTTAATTTACTGAATATTAGATCGTACATACTGTAGAACCTCAATTTAACGACGCTTGTTGGACTGGGTGTAAATATAGGGACATGAAAATTCCCATAAAAACTAAATTTTAAATGCATCATTTGAAAAGAAAGCATTTTGATAAAAAAATAAACATCTTTGTTTACCTTTTAAAAAGTTTTTAGTCTCAGCAGCATAGCTGCTGCTTTATTATGGTGGTGGATCTGACGACTTGCCGTCTCCATCACTACTGGAGTCTAATTTCAGCTATTGAAATCGCCTCTGATTCACTAGTTAGTAGATTATTATCACATTGTGAACTCTCTATAAAGTCGGCATGGACATTCTCCTCTGCCGGAACTAATGTAAAACTACTTTTATTGAAGCCATTAACATTGCAGTCTTTAGAAACTTTTTTTCCAGGCTTACAATATTAAGTTTGAAGCTAGCATGTTTATTTTTCTTCTTTGTTGGATATTAGAAGTTGTACAGGAGTCCAATTTGTCGGTATTTCAGGGAATGGTCTAAATACCAGGATGTATTTACTATATTGATGTAAGAAATAAAAGTGCACAAAGCTGTAAAGACGTTAAAAGCAGGATATTATTATTCACGGTTGACACTAAATCTGAGTTCTACTGTATTTTAATGATCTTGTTGTTAATTTGCTGTCAATGAGAACTTCTTTTACTTAACATTTTCTAAAATTTCAGGTAAAAGATGGATCAGACAAATGGTTATGAGTGCATTTCTTCTTCCCTCCCTAGTTTGTGGAACAGCTTTTCTCATAAATTTCATTGCTATTTATTATCATGCATCAAGAGCTATTCCTTTTGGAACCATGGTATGCAAAATCACATATATATTTACAGTTCTACTTCTATGAGAGACTTACCTCTTTCAATAACAGCTTTTTTAATGTATTGAATTTTTACTCTATCAATATAATGTTAAAAAGTATCATCAGGAAAACCTGTGTGAGCAACTGACTATTGACCACCCTATTAAAGCTTTTTATTGTTTTTCTTTTTGGTAAAGTAAGAGCAAGAACCGTTCTAAACTAAAGTGTTTTCACACATTAATTTTTTACTTAGGTGCAAGTAAAGAATGATCTGTTAAGAATTTTTTTTTGAGCAATATGAAATTTCTACATACTTTACAAATGTTTCAAAAATATGTTAGAAAATTTCGTGTATTATGCAGTAGTCAATAAATAACATCGCAAATATCTTTATTGTTCTCTTTTTATGAATACAAAATGTGACTACTAATTTAAATATTTTTTTTGAGTTAACTGTTTTTAAAAAGTTTTAGAAGCGATTACCTCCCTTAACAACCAATTTCTTACGCAAGGGATCATGTTCGCTCTTGAGAAGTTTCGCTGTATTAAGTAATGTAATGTATATTTTTAAACAATAATAATAAGTGTACTAAATTTATTCTTAAAATGTTTCTTTCCCTAGGTTGCAGTAACATGCATTTGCCTTTTTGTCATTCTCCCTTTAACATTAGTTGGCACAGTCTTAGGTCGAAACATATCTGGTCAACCAAATTACCCATGTCGCATCAATGCAGTTCCAAGACCCATACCAGAAAAGAAGTGGTTTATGGAACCCGGAGTTATCATAAGTCTTGGCGGTATTCTTCCATTTGGCTCCATCTTCATTGAAATGTATGTCATCAAGAATCTTAACAAAATATCTTTGAATATTTCTTATGTATTTTATGAATTTAATGTATAATATTATTACAGGTACTTCATATTCACATCTTTTTGGGCTTATAAAATCTACTATGTGTATGGCTTTATGCTCTTAGTGTTCATAATCCTAGCTATTGTTACTGTTTGTGTCACAATTGTTTGCACTTACTTCTTATTGAATGCAGAAGATTATAGATGGTGAGATATGTTGAATTTTCTTGTTTTCTATCCTTTATGTTTTATGCTTCTATATAAAATTAAGAAATTATATAAAAATTTTATTTCATGAATAACCTTTCCAAATTTAGTGAAAATTATGAAATAACTTTTAAATTTTATTTTCTTATTATACTTTTAGGCAATGGACTAGTTTTCTTTCTGGTGCTTCAACTGCTGGATATGTATATATGTATTCTTTTTACTACTATTTCTTTAAAACTAAGTAAGTCTTATAAATAACAGTTTGCTAATATTCTTTCTCTTTTATTTAAGTATTTGTTTCGATTGACAACTTCCTTTTTTTTCTTTTTAGAATGTATGGCTTATTCCAAACTACTTTCTATTTTGGATACATGGCACTGTTTAGTTGCGCACTTGGAATTTTGTGTGGTAATTATAATTTAATTTTCTTTTTGATATCCTTTAAGAACACAAAAATAAATAACTTATGCTTAATTTAATTTTATACATTTAAGCGTCTGTAATGTTTGAGGCAGTACAAATTTATGAGCATTATAACCTAGGAAAAAGTTTATTTTGCTTAATTTATCTTTTGATGTTTCAATTATCTTTTGGTGTAAAACCATTTTGATTTATCGAAATTGTTTTTCATTGGCATTTACTTTATATCAGACCAAATCTCAATCGAAATTTAAAGAATTCAACTCAAAAACAAGGCGTGACACAGAATATTTAAAAGTCTAATAATTTTATTATTCTGGAAAAGCCTGAGAAATCTCTAAAAAATATACAAAATTTGTAAAAAAGTTCTGGAACTTCTAAAAAATTTCCTTTTTTACTGACCAAAATGTTTCAACTGAAAGTTTTTTTTTAATTTAGTTTTTTATTTTAAATTTGTTGTGTTAATTCTTTTTTGTTCTATCATAATCTGGTTTCATTTAATCTTGTTTTATGTTTGCCTTTTTTTTTTTTTTTTTTTTTTTTTTTTAAAATTTAGTCAATTATTTAATCATAAAATGTAGGTGAAAATGTTTTTCTTGATGAGCATTTGAGTTGGGTATATTTTCTTATCTATTCCTTCCTTGTTTAAAATTATAATTTAAATTTTCTTTTTCAATTTATTGCATTGCTATGATTTTTTTTTTTTGTATTTATTTTCATTTTTTTATGGAGCAGAATTAATATCAGTATTAGAAAATCAGCTTTGTTTTGAAGTTAATTTTAAAAGTGTTTGTGTTTAGGTATTTAGTAATGATTTTTGGTTGTTTTGAAAGAAATTATTCTGGATATAATTAAATCCAGAATTTAAAATTTTTCTGTCCGTTTAAACTAGATTTTAATTTTTTCTTCTTCAAAAAGCTGGATTGTTGGCTGGTTTAAATTAGACCACACAACGCATAGCAATTGTTTTTGCCTTAACTCATAATCACAGAATAAATCTAAGAAATAAGTATTAAAATATATATATATATATATATTTTCTTTTATAAAAAGAAAAAAAATATTTGTTTTATATTAGTTATGCTTAAATTGTTTATTTTTTTTAAAAGAACATGTCATAAAATTAAACAGTCATTCTTTTATTAAATTTGTATTTTAATGTTTTAGGTACATTTGGGTATGTTGGAACCAGCATATTTGTAAGAAAAATCTACTCAACTGTGAAAATAGACTGAGCACTTGCCTGCTGTATATAGAAGTTGAACAAACGTTTCAGAGAATGTTGTTGCCATATGAGGATTCGAAAAAAGAAACTAATTATTTATAAATATTTAAAAGGCATTTTTTTCTTATTTAGACCACCAACTCTGAGTGTAATGGTACATTTGAAGACAGATTTTACTTCATTATGGTTTATGCCTTACCATAATGTAACCATGACTCTAGACTGTACCATTAGGCGGGCATTCTTGTTAAAATGTGATTATTTTTTCTTTTTTATATATTTTATTTGTTAAAATAGACTGAATATGCAATTGGTGATTGGTACACTGTGACCGATTTTTTAGAAGCAATATTGTGTTGTTTGCATATTAACTATTTAGTCGGACTTTTGTTTTTTAATTTCAATTGGTCTGGTAAATAAAAAAGTTCTTTATTAACTTTCCCAGCTTTTTTTTTTAGTTTTTGTTATCAGTTTTAAATTGTTATAAATATTTTGTTATTTATATCATCAAAATTGCTTCTAAGTCCTTCAGTATTTATTAATTTATTTTATGCTGTGTGTTACTTTTTTATACTTAGATAAAGCTGTTAAATAATTAAAGCACAAATGTTTATCCTATATTTTAGTTTCATTATATTGCTAAAATAACGAATTCATTTCGTTTTGAGGCAAATTTAAATAGAATGAATGAAATCGTATTTTTTTTTAATAGTTAATCCTTTTAGATATTAAAAATGTATTTATACTATTACAATTGATTTACTTAAAATCTTCAAAACTAGTACAGATGAAATAAAATGCAACAAAGGGTAAATGTATCTAATATGCTTTATATTTTGCTACGTATCATGGTAAGCATAATATGCTGGAAATTTTTTTTTTTGTTGCTGCATCCTATATTTCTGTGAAAACTAACTCGTAAATTTTATAACAGTATTTGTGCTAGTTTCTAGACTTTGCTAAGTGGAATTTTGTTAGTATAAAATACTTATTGTTTTATTCAAGTTAAATTCACTTTTATCTTGCATAAGCTTATAAAATGTTTTCAAGAAAGCAGACTTTTCATCCATTTTTTCCATTTATAGAAAATGTGGAAGTAAAGTTAATTAATATTGTGTTTTTTAATGAAATTAAATTTTAAACTAAGATTTAGTTGATAAGTAATGTATTTTGTAAATTGTGTGTTTAGTAAATCTGGAAGTGTCTATGATAATTGTTGGCTTATTTTTCAGTTACTGAAAATGCTGAATTTGTTTAGAGTTACCATTAAAAAAGAAATAATAAAATAAAATATTCATTAACTACCAAAGAAAAATGTGTTTATGCTTAAAAAAGTATCTCTGGATGTATTATAATTTAATCTTTTTTTAATAAGTAAAATGCCAGCACAGATTATGAGGCTTAAGTTGTAATTTTTTATCACATAAGAATTTTGCGTGACCTGTTCCCCCCCCCCCCCCNCCCCCCCCCCCCCTTATACTTTATTAATTAAAGTGATCTCAGTTTAGATTCAGTTAAATTTAGTTTTTTCTTTTAATTACTTCAATTCTGAATTGTTTTCTAAATCATGTTTTCTTTTATTTCTAACATTACGTGTTCTTTATGTAAATGCCTTAAATTATAATACTCTTCTCATTTTTTTTAATAATTCTAACATTCGTTGAAAATAATTTTTGTTGACCATCTGTCTTTAGAATAGCTAATCTTTTTATTTAAAAATAAAATTATTGGTTGGTGATATTTCCGTTTTAGTCCATAGTTGAAACTGATTTTAACTAGCTTAAATTCAATTATTGAGTTAACTCTTTATATATCTAGAGAGACAAATGGAATAATATTCATGCATTAAATTTTTATAAAATCAAAATATTAATATTTTTTTCCTTCCTCCTTTACATCCAAGTAGTACTCAATATGTGATTTCATTTTACATCATTTGTTAGCATTTAGAAAACTAATTAAGCTTTTATTTATTATATAAATGAGTTTTTGAAAATTGTATATTAGTGGTTAAAGGCAATAATTATTCCATATTTTTCTGTTGTGAATCTTTTTTTTTTTTGAATAAATATTTGCATCTGATAGTGTTTAATTTTCATATCCAGTGTTTTCTCCCCCCAGGAATTTTGAATAAATCATATAAAACAGCTAAACACAATTAGACAATCCAGCCTGAGCAATTTTTTTTTATTTTTAAAGTTCTCACACTTTCTTGCAATTAATTGATCATTGATAATATTTTTAGCATTGTGTGTGGCTTAGTGGTTACGGCACTAAACTGTCCTTGTGAAGGACTGGGGTTCAATCCTTAAAAGCAGCTTTAAGCCCACTTCGTTTCCAATCAATGAGTACCAGGGAGCCACGATAGCTTAGGGCAGGGGTGGCGAACCTTTCTGCACCAACCTGCCATTTTTTTCAAAAAATTGTTTAATGAGGTCATAGACGTGCCCTCAAATAATTTTGACTTTCTGATTATTGGGAAAATAATAATACTAAATACTATCAAATCAAAACTCTTTATTTACTATAAAGAAAAAAAAAAACGTTTTGCAGTGTCTCAGTTATAAGTGTAATTCAATTTAAAGTAACATCAGTGAGAATTCTGTTGTTGCAGATTAGATGACAAATAATTTATATTAGTTTGAAAGATGTTAATTTAAGCAGAACTGTTAAATCTCTTTTTGCTGGTTATTTATTGTTAGCTTGTTTTTTACGGTTAAAAAAAATTTTTTTTGGCATTAATTATAAAAAAAAAATTTGATAATTTTTAATTCTTCAGTTTGTTTTTAATTTAATTGTTAATATGCTTCGTAGTGAACTTTGTGATCAGTGGCGTGCCCAGAATAGTGTGTTGCGTGCCATTGGTTCGCCATCCCTGGCTTAGGGAACAGAGCGTTCGCCTTCCAGTGAGGTGAACCAGGTTTAAATCTCCGTGATGGTTGATCGATACGAATTCCGCATCTGGTTTGCGCCAACCCCAGTGGTGGCGTAAGATGTCTTCGGTGATAGACGGATCTTGAGTTAGAGTCCCCTTGTCGTTTGGCTGATCGTGAAAGGTTTCCGTGGTGTTCCTCTCCGTGTAACGCAGATGCGGATTAGTATATAAAAAAAATCCGCCACTAAGGCAAATTTCTCCCTATACATGATCGAGGAGTTCCCATGTTATCTTGATCAGGTTCAAAATTATAAGGCTAGAGAGTTACGGTTATAGAATAAAATAAAAACCAGGTTGTCTGAGAAGTAAAGTGATGGCTTGTGTGCAACGCTGACCACATTGCCACAGTCGTGAAACTGAAGTCTTTAGCTCCCAAGAACCTCCTGACCTATTATGAGCGTTTGCAGGAAGGGTATACTTTTAATTAATATGCTACCAACTTTATGCTACTAGGGTCATACAGAAATGATTAACTCTTTGGCTCTCACAAAACTATACATAATTCAACAAGAAATTTATTGAAATAAGCATAGTATAAGCTGTGAGGAATGCAACGATTGTGCTGGCTGGGGTTAGTGAACTTTCATTGTTGATAAGTACTTTCATTAATTTAGAGGAAGATAATATGAAATCTTTTGCTGGCATACAAAGTGTAAAATTTATTTGCTTAATGTGAACTATTAGCAGAGTCGAGTTGGAAGCAGCACTCTCAAATCTATAAAGCTAACAGCTTTTAGGGAAAACATAATTCAAGCATTATGTTTCCCCAAAACTATATCTTTAAGTTTCAAAAATTATTTTTCCAAGAGGTTTTATTTAAACTTTGGGGTTTAAACTGCTATATAAGTCCTTATTTTCTCTTAAAACCTTCAAAAGGCCTTAATTTTTAAACTGAAGATTATTCTAGTTGAAACACTAAAAAATTTTTAAGATTTTTTTAATGCATAGTTAATGTTTGTTTTAAAACTTTTTTCTTACCTAAAAATTTAGAACTTAAACCTGACCTAATTTAAGTAAATTAACCTAATTAATAGTTACCTAATTTAAACCTTATTAGCTTGAATTGAAAACCTAAATATTTTTTATAAACTTTTCCTATTATAATTTCCTTTTAAATCCAAATTTGCAATCCAGTAATCTAGGAAACAGATTGTCTGTCTTGGTCATTTTCGGAATTAAATTTTTCTTTCACCATTTGCTTGTCAATGTTTATAAAATGGAACATCGACTTTGAATTTAATCAGCAATTAAAACTTAATATTATTTTTCATACATTTAAAATTTACATTATGAAGCATGTTTTGCATTTAATTTGGTGCAATTTCCATAATTATTAGATTTTTTATAAATTTGAATGAACATTGGCATTTCAAGGATTCTATTTTTAGATTTCAAGTGATTCATTGAGTTATGTTGTGTACATTTCGTTCAATTGGAATTATGCCACATGATCAAAATTAATAATGTTCTAATAGAAAGAGGGTTAGAATGTGTCTAGATTAATCTTATTTTGACCATGAAGATCAGAAAAGAGTGTTAATGGCAAAGGCATGACTTAGAAAGCAATAAAAAATAGGAATACATTCATAGTGAGCATTTTTCTCTCTAGTTGCAATTTTAACTATTGAAAAATAAATATTTTCTTGCTTGGGCTTTCAGGGTTGCTTTCTTTTCTTGATTTGACAATGATAGAGTTAAACAGCACAGATTTCTCTAATATGGTATCAACAAAAGTATTAAATTGATTCTTGTGATTCATATCACATCTGAGTTGCATTTGCTCTTGCCAAATGAGTAAAAGAAAATTGAGCTTTTTTTAGTTGTTTCATTTACAAATTCTTATCCTGTCTAAAGTGCCTAATGATACAAGAAGTAATAGACCTCTTAGAAACTATTTCTCATTCAAATTTTGAAGATGAGGATATTGGTCAGTTGATCCTCCTGACAACTCGAAAAACTTAATTGATGAGCAAAACATAGATGGAAATAATTTAGAACCTCCTGTTCCATTCGATACATGAGGAATTGTGGATATTGTTTTGAAAAATAATATTTGAGTAGATGNTTGATCCTCCTGACAACTCGAAAAGCTTAATGGATGAGCAAAACATAGATGGAAATAATTTAGAACCTCCTGTTCCATTCGATACATGAGGAATTGTGGATATTGTTTTGAAAAATAAAATTTGAGTAGATGAAGTGGAAAATTAAAACCCAGGAATCGGGCACAATTGACAAACCAAAAAGTAAACACCCAATTATAAAGTCTAGTAAGAGACTGAAATTTAATGAACCAAAAGAATTTGAAAAGCTGAAAATAATTTAGCAAAAATGTCCTGAATACAGGAATTGTACTCCTATGAAACTATTTTTGGTAAATATTTTGAATTTCTCGTGAATAAACTTAAACTATTGATGTACTTCCAAAAAAATATTTCAAGATTTCTTGAACTTCTAAGTGGATACCACCATCAGTAGAAAAAGCTTCTATTAAACGCAAATGTTCCAAAAATAGAACACCATGAAAAATACAATTAAAGTTTTGTTCTTTCAATTTTATTTTCTCAAGATATTCTATAGTAGTAAATCAAATTTAAAGTTATTTGGTTAATTTTTTTTTTTTAAATAAGGAAAAAGATACAATTTAGTACAGTTTTGGTTTTTATACTTATATTGGTGATGAAATTAACATTCATTGGCTTGAAGGAAATATTTAAATTAGGTCCTTGAAAAGTGAGGGGTTAGAAGAGGGAGGAATTTACTTGAAAGTGCAAAAAACTGTGGTCTTCAAAAATGGCAAATTGTTAGAGGTTGTATTGTATTGCATTCTTTGCAGTAGTCAATAGTGCTTGGTACTGTGCCCTTTTAATTACAGAAATTTTTTAGCTTTTTGTTAAAAATACATTTTCTTTCAGTAAATTAAATGATTTGTATTGATGTGGTAATGTTTTCTTAAAGGGGGGGGGGAGTTGAACTAATTTTCTATTACTATATTTTCTTCAAAATTAGTTTTTGCAGACTCAAACATTCATTTTATCTTACCTAGAATGGATTTAAGAATTATGTTGCATTTTTTTTTGGGGGGGGGGGGCAAATTGCCACCAATAAACATCTACTTTTAATTGTTTCTTTATTATTCAAAGTTCTACAATATCATTTCGTATTGACTTCTGTTTCCTTTAGATTTTAGATCCGCATTGAACTCCAAGGCAAAATTGAACTGAAATTTCTCCGATACTTCTCAAAAGGAATAACACGCAGAATGCCTGTTTTTAAACGCTAAGTGTGCATTAACATTTGTAAATTAATGCTGTAATATTACTGCTAAGAGAGTTAATTTTTTGAGAATATGCAAAAATTATTTTTTTAATTATTAGAAAGAAAAAAAATACTATGCCAGAGGCAAATGTGAAATTAGGCATAACTCTTAGAAATTCAAAGACATTCTATTCAATAAGCATATAATTCAACTCTGTAGGTGATGCCTCAGTGGTTTAGGCGCTAAGCTATAATAGTGTTATCAATCATACTCAGCTTCAGATTGATAGACTCTAGCTAGTGTAGGAAGTAGAGGTGGTCAATATCAAAACTGACCATTTTGCCACCATCATATAGTCTGCAGCAAAAGAGGAGCCTGGTCAACAACAACTGGCCGTTGTAAAAGTTCTCTCTGCCAAAACCTTTGAAATCTTAGAATTTCCTTGCATCACAATTGCCTCTAATTATATGCTTTTAACTTCAACATAAATTACTTCAGAAAATCACTAAGTAATAATTTTATTGCATTGTATATATTTTTTTATGTTGATTAAATTTACATATCATGCATATACATTTCTCAATATATTTATTAAAAAAATAATAACACAAGGGACAGCAGGTAGGAAACATTTTACTCATACACGAAATTTTTCAATACACATTCCATCTCTCAATGACATTCTCACGACTTCCAAGTATATTGAAAATCTCAAAGTCAATAAAATTTTATAATTAAGTTTTCTGTTCTGTATACATTATATTTACCCAATCGCAGCGAATAAACATTATTACAATAAATTCCTCTAACCACCAGTTTGCTTGCATAGTTTATTATACTAAACAGATAAATGAAGAAGTCTCTGAATACAAAGTCCATTAAAGCAGCAGCAAACCTCTTCGTTGAGAGCAAAAGTAGAAGCCATGGTTTAATAACTTTTTTTTTTTAAACTACAGGGCGAGTTTTTCAAGTGATAAGGAAAATGGGGGAAGAAAAGAAAGGATTCATCAGGCTTGATGTGGGCTCCAATTCTGCCAGGTCTGAAAGAAACAAAGAAAGAACTTTAACAAACTAAAAATAACAAGACTAAATTGTCATAATGCTAAAAGTATGAGAGAAGGAAGAAAAAAAAAATGTTGAACAACAATACTTAAACTCAATGGAAGTTTTTAAAAATATGTATAATTTAAGTTTAAAACAATATTCACTAAGGAACATAAACGTAATTTGCACAAATAAACAACACAGAAAAAATAATTTTTACTGCTTAAAGTGCACATTAATAGTACAGTACAGAACCCGTTATCTGGAAATCAGAAAACTGGAAAACCGGAACAAAATTCCCGCCATTCTTTAAAAAAAAAAAACTTCTTTTTCCTCGTAAGATTTTAGGATTTTTCTTTCTTTTTTGAAAGATGTTTACCTTACAATCATTTTGGAAATAATCATTAGTGTACTACTTCATCTTTTTAAGATTATTTCCAATTTTTTTTCTCTTTTAGTTGGGTTTATCAATAAAAAAAAAAAACGGCTTTTCGTAGTGATTCAGAAAACCGGAAAAATCAGTTATCCTGAATAGCGATGGTCCCGATCGTTCCGGATAATCGGTTCCCTACTGTACATCATTTACATTTTAACAAGAAAAGATAGTAACATTGTTATTAAAAAAATATTGAAGTATAGCCTTTTTTTAGTAAAAATAGTTAAATTTTGTAACTAAGAAAAGTTACAATGATGTTTTGTACAAAACATTAATGACATGTTCAAAATAAACTATGTAAGCTCCCCCTTAATGAACAATAGCTTATTAATCAATAAATATAATTTAGTATTGTCATGGAAACATAAGATTTTTTTCAATTTAATAATCCTACCAAACAGAAAGCAGGCGATTTCATCAAAGCATACGAAAAGGACAAGAACTCTTGTGTGGCAGCTTCAATATGCTTTTTTCTAATGGTTTTACAAAGTAATGCTTATTCATAACTAAATTTGGGGATTTTTCTAAGTTAAAAACATAACTCAGTGCAGCCAATATATACAATAAAGAAAATCTTTATTCTTTTATTGTCTACAACAGGACATCAGCAGAAGGCAAAAAAGATTAAAATACTTAAATTAGTAGAAATAGTTGCTGAATAAATGATGCATCAAACAGAGATAAATTTTTTTGCTGTGTTACTGTATCTTTAATGAATGGAAAGTTCGAAGCCTTGAAATATGTACTGGGCAAATAGTAGGGGAAATTATATAGAGATGTTGCAACAAAAATGTCATAAGTTACACACGTCAATAAGAAAACTAATCCTTCTTAAAAAATAAAAATTGGGTGCATTCAGTTGCATGGCGCAGTTTTTTCATAATTCTGATTAAATGCTCGTAATTAAGATTCTTGTACTTATCTTTTAAAAAGATCATAAACAATACTAATGCTTAGTACAAATTATTTTTCAAGTCACATAGCACATGGTACCATTACCAGTGCCTTAAGGTTGAATTTGCCTAAAAGTTGGTTATAGAAAATATTTGGAAAAATAAATACACGACTTTCTTTCAAGTGGATTTATAATACTAGATGAAGGAACAAACCAGGGTGAATGAGGGTATGCATTAAACAGGTTGAGATGGATCAAACAAATTTAAATATAAAGAAAAACGTGCTTTATTTACTTTATCAATAAATGATTCATGACTAAATGGGGTCGCCATAGTTTAATTCTCACCATTCTAGTACAGCAGGTTTAGAAACATGTCAGCAAAACATTATATTTTGCTGGCAGATGAAATTATAAAAAAATTATTTACTCAGTGAATCAGGTGAAAAGAAAAATTCAAAGTTTAAATTATAGATGAAAGTATTTTTGGTGAAGGAAAAAAAACTGTACAGAAATAAAGTAACGAAAGAGTAGAAAAAGTTAATATACCATTTTATGATCTACATTTTGCGGTAGGCCATCACCAGAGGGTACTTTGGGGTGCATTCCCCACATCTCTACTTGGGGATCCACTTGTCCAGGTCCAGCTGCAGCAGCATTATTTTGATATAAGTGAGGCGCTAGCAAATGTGGAGGTAGTCCATTGACGAAAGGGAACCCACCACCAGTCATGGCCTAGAATAAAATAGTTTAATTTCAATACAATTTTTTAAATTATGTTCTAGAAACATAGAGCAGTTGTAAGTGGCAATCAACAAAGCTATTAGAACAGTGATTTGGCAATGCCTAACGGCGAGGCAATTGACCATCTGGCTGCTGATCCAGCGATTTCCACGGCAACTCAAATGTAGCAAAATTAGCTTATTCAGCAATTTTAGCGGGCATGTGTTTATTTTCCTTTATTAGGGAGCGCATCCCGCCTTTTCACTGTTTAATCAGTGAAATGAATTATATACAGTATTTGACGTTTAACTTGGGTTTTGAGCGACAGATGTTGTTAGCAAGTTCACTAAATGGTGGCATTTGAAGGTACTTAATATTTATCACTCTAACTTCACTATGATTGTCGCCGTTTTCTAATCAGAAATGGCTGCTAGAAAACGTTCAGCAATTAACAGAGTATATATTCCTTATTATTTATCAGATTCTGAAAGTAACTTCAGTTTTAAAAGTATTTTTTTTTAAAAAATCAAAATAAAAATTTCATAACCGTCTCTAATCTTGCAAAATATAATTTATTTATTTCATACCTTTGCTTTTCCATTGAATTTTAACAAATTTTATTTAATCATTGCATAATTAGGAATAAAATTGGTTCATAGTTTCCAAGAATAATTGTGCCACAAATTTGCATCTTCTTTAATTAGCATTAGCAGAATAAAACAGAAAAAATTTAACGAAAAAAACTTTAGTTATTTTCCAGTTAAACAATCAATTAAAAGGCCATGAACCATAAAAAGAAGCAATGTTTAATTTTTAACAAGGTCACATTATTACTAACAGTTAATATAGAAAATAATCAAATACTAAAATTCTAATTTGGGATCAAATAAAAAGAACATTACCTGGAATGACTGATCAATCTGATGATTATTCTCCATGGCCATCATATCAGCAAACCTATTATTACTGAAATTGTGCATGGCAGGTGGTATTCTTACATCATCTTGTTGGATAGGATTTAATGTCCCCTGCATATTTTGAATCCAATCTCCTGTACCGGGCATTTCTGCTGCAGCTGAAAAAACAAAATATTCCTTTTAACATACATTTATAATGATTAAGCTACAAGTTCACAAAATATAAAAACTAGATACTAAAAATAATCAGGTAGAAAGTTGATGCAATAGAAGAAAGTTAAAAAAGCAAAAAATAAAGGGAAATAACTTAGGCTAAATATTTATTTTAATTAAAAAAAAACTACAAAATCTTATATGACTTTTGCATGCAATCAATCAATCAATACATACATCATTTATGGAATTTATTTTTCAATGCTATAATTTTCAAGTTTTGCAGTATTGTATTGTAAATTGTGCAAAATAAAAAAGCGTACACCCTGAATGGTTTTCGATACTATGATCACAAACTAGGATTTAATCTTAATTATTCAAGGGCATAACCTTAAATATGCTGATTAATTAGAGTAGACAAAATATTAAGTTAAGAAATCAGACACGAAAATGTACTTCTCTATATAAACAAATCTTTTTTTTTTTTTTTTTTAATGGGTTAAGATTCTAAATAAAATAATTTCTTAGAAGAGAATTCTTAAAAATAATTTCAAAGCTATCAAATTTTAAAAAATTGCAAAGAAAAAAATTTGATTTCCTGAGAACTATTTATTAAAATTTTGTATTTGGTCATTTAAAGTTGCAAATTTTATAATGGTGCAAAATTTTTTATAAAATTCTAAATAATTATTTATTTTTGGATAAAGGATTTTTACTGACTCGCTTAAAAAATTCCTGAGACATTGATGAATTTGTAAAACGTGAAATTAACATTAAAGGGCCCAAATTTTTTACTGCTTCTATCCTTAACTATTGGGACCAAATTTTCTTAAATTGCTGTTTTACTTCCCGTATTTTGAGAGTAAAAAAACTGAATTCGTTAAAAATTTAAAAAAGATAATTCAGAAATAGTACAATTTTGTTTCTAAATATATACCTGAAAGCTTTTAAGCTCTTCAAAAAAGTAATCTCCTTGAAGTAGAGAAAAGCCAATTAAATTAAGATTGCATGTTGGTGTTACGTTAAAATTTAGCTAACATTTAAAAACAATTTTGAAGAGCTAGCTACCATACATATGTTTAAATTATTTAATTATATTGGTAGTCAAAATAATTTTAAACCACATTTATTTATAGAAATTATTTCCATTTTAACTCCATGATGTGCTGTGTGATAAATTAAAAAATGGTGACAAATCAGATCTCCTTATTCAATACAATTAACAAACTACCTATTGAATACAAATTAAACGTGAATCCAATGCAAAGACAATGTTTGTATCAGAAATGTTTACACAGAAAGTTAGATTTATTAATTCTTTAATTACAACTTTTTTTTCACATAGTAGGATGCAATCTTCATGATTTAAAACACCAGCTTCAAGACATGCTTATCAACCCAGAAGCAGAAAGTGCCTAAAACTGTGACGCACGTCGCAGAACAAACGAAGTCCTGCAGAACAATTTGTATCTTGAATAAGTGACAGCGTTTTCCTGCGAAAAGGCTGTCCCTTATTGAAGATACAGGTAGTCAAGTTTTTTTTAAATGATATTTGAAAAAGTAACAAATCAAGAATGTTTGCTTTGGTTTAAAAAATAATGTAGCTTATCTGTGTATGATCCTGCATTTTAATAAATGAAAATATAGTATTTTAACGTAAAGTAAGACTTTTTTTTTCGCCGTGAAATGCTTGCATAACATTTGTATAATTAATAAGTCCTGTTGCAGAACATTTGAAAATATTCTGCTTATGGGCTTATCAATAAGTAATAAAGAAATAAAAGAATTTTTTATCGTCAACAGATTAAGCTTTGCGACTCTTAACCATAATTTGGAAGAATGGTCAAAATAGAAACCAGGAGACTAGACTAATGTTTGGATCAATTACTGCTAGTTTAACCTTTTCTGTATTATGACATATCTCTGGAACTACCTGCATGAGTCTAAAATTCTCTTATCTAAACTAAATTAAAAATAATTTTACATTTATATCTATTATTAATTTTGCAATTAAAGAATGATAATAAAAATAAAGAAATGTTTATTGCATGCAAAAAGAACAATTTCTAATAAATTAAAAATTGCTCACAAAATTGTAACTTCTGAAATGACTAAATTTCATAAAATTAAGCAAAATATTCAACTGTTACGCATACTTTTGAACAATAATAGATTATCTAAACATTATAATTTAACATTTACAAGAGCTTTTATGTTTTAAAATTTTTCTGAGAGAAAATTAAATAATATAATCATTTAAATGCAGAGCTTAGCTACATTAAGTAGATAGCTTCCAAATTTGATGAGATTCTGGGTGAAATGAAGATATTTAAAAAGAAAAAAAATGATTGGACATCAAAACATAACATTAAAAAATATATATATTCATAGCTCTGTTGTTACGACACACAACTTAAGATTTAATGAGTAATTTTTTAAGCTGCAAGACTTGCACCAGCCTATTTTATTGAAGCAGCCAGAATGAAAAATATTTTACTTCTTGTTATAATTTAAACTACTTGTATCATTAATTTTACGTAGATAAGCAATGAAAGGTAACACCAAGGCTGTCTTCAATTGTCTTGTCATAAATCACACAAACAGTTCAACCAAGGGATTATGGTGCGTGAATGGACAAGAAAAGGGAGTTCATCTTACATCCCTTATTACTCATATGTGTATAAGTAAGTTCTACATCCAAACCCAAGGAGTTTGAAGAGAAATTCTTATTTTTTTTTGGGGGGGGGGGATTAAAAGGTTATCGATCATAATGCATTTCACACAGTAAATGTTAAATCTTCCAACTAAAATCACCTTTTCCAAGAAACTAAATTTCGCAAATTATTTTCACCAATAAAGCAGGTATATACACAGTCCAGTCACATTAATGTGACCACCTGTTAAAAGCCAGAATAACCACCTTTGGCAGAGTGGACCGCTGTGAGATGTGCAGGAAGAGAGTCAGCTAGGTTTCTGAAGGTGTTCACTGGGATGTTGAGCCATGCCGACTTCAGTGCCTTGGCCAGCTACGCTAAATTACGCTGTTGAGGATATGTGGCGCGAGCAACCCGATAGAGGTGGTCCCACAGATTCTCGATTGGGTTTAAATCCGGAGAGTTTGCTGGCCAGGGAAGTACGGTAAACTCATCCTTGGGCTCTTCGTACTACGCACACACACTGTGAGCTGTATGAAACCTCGCATTATCCCGCTGGTAGATGCCATCATTCTAAGGAAAAATCATTCGCATGTAGGGGTGGACACCGTCCGCAAGGGCAGATGCGCACTTGTGCTGATCCATCGCTCCTTCCACAATGATGAGTGCACCCAGTGAATGCCAGTAAAACATTCCCCAAACCATAATGCTCCCTCCTCCAGCCTGGATCCTTTCGACAATTGTTGTAGGGTGTTTGCTTTCGGACGTTTCATGCTGTATACGCCAGCGTTCATCCGTCCGATGGAGCATAAAAAGTGATTCAGCGAATAAAACCACCTGTCGCCACTCTGTGGACGTCCAGTTGCGGTACTGGTATGCAAATTCCAGCCTTCGTCGCCGATGAACAGCAGTCAGCATAGATGCATTAACCAGGCTTCTGCTACGGAGGCCCATGCGCAGCAACATTCGCTGAACCGTTGTTGAGGATACACACTTGGTAGCCCCTTGGTTCATCTAGGCGGTCAGTTGCTCAACAGTTGCACGTCTATTCACCCGAACGCGTCTCCGTAGCTTTCCTTTGCATCTGCCATCTATAGCCCGTGGTGCACCGCATGTGGCACGCCGCTGATTTTGGATAGTGCCATTTTACTATGCACGGTATACTTTCAACACGGTGGTACGAAAACAGTTCACAATATTGGCCGTTTCCGAAATGCTTCCACACTTGGTCCGAAAGCCAATAATCATACCCTTTTGGACGTCGGATAAATCGATACGTTTTTGCATTACACCAACGCTTGAAATGCTTTCCGATGCCCTAGGACATCCTTTACATGCACTCTACTGTAATATGATGCCACCTGCCTTCTGTGATTGGTTATTTCACGTTGACGTCGAAGATAGGTGGTGGTCACATTAATGTGACTGGACTGTGTATATTATTTTTTTAAAAATATATATTATTTTCTTAAAAATCAAGTATAGAAAATAAATTGCCAGCAATTTTCATTTTAAAAGAAATCACTGATTTTTTCCCAATGAATTTGAACCCTTTTAGTTTTTAGTGCATGTAATGAATAATTGTTACAAATTTACAAACATATTATTTGATAATATGCGCCATTTCAATAAAAAGAGCATTTGAAAAACAGGCATATAATTTATAAAATTTACTTATCTTCTTTATAATCGTGTGTTAAGTTTTTATTATTTTAACAAACGTAATAAAAAGGAGATGAAAAGAGTCCTATTTATAACTTGATTCTTAAGGAACGAAAATCTTATGCAGATTACATGATGAATAAAAACTAAACGCACTTTAAAGTAACCTTTAAACATACTTCGAAATAACTATGTACTTAAACGAAATTTCAAGTAAAATGAGAATAGTTATTTCGTGAAAAAGTCTCTCTTTGAGTTGATGAAAAAAAGAGTGAAGTATATAGGCTAAGTCCAACTGCAAATAACATTTTTTTTCTAAGGAAGTATACAAGAAAAGTTAGAGGAGAAAAATAAAGTTTCAGTATATTAGAAACTATTTTTCTCAACAACTAAAGAAGTAANTTTTTTTTTTTTTTTATGGGTTTAGATTCTAAATAAAATAATTTCTCAGAAGAGAATTCTTAAAAATAATTTCAAAGTTATCAAATTTTAAAAAATTGCATAGAAAAAAATTTTTCTTCCTGAGAACTATTTATTAAAATTTTGTATTTCGTCGTTGCAAATTTTTTTATAAAATTCAAAATAATTATTTATGTTTGGATAAAGGAATTTTACTGATTCGCTTAAAAAATTCTTCAGACATTGATGAATTTGTAAAACGTGAAATTAACATTAAAGGGCCCAAATTTTTTACTTCTTCTATCCTTAACTATTGGGACCAAATTTTTTCAAATTGCAGTTTTACTTCCTGTATTTTGAGAGTCAAAAAACTGAATTCGTTAAACTTTTTAAAAAATAATTCAGAAATAGTACAATTTTGTTTCTAAATTTATACCTGACAGTTTTTAAAAAAGTAATCTCCTTGAAGTAGAGAAAAGCCAATTAAATTAAGATTGCATGTTGGTGTTACGTTAAAATTTAGCTAACATTTAAAACAATTTTGAAGAGCTAGCTACCATATATATGTTTAAATTATATAATTATATTGGTAGTCAAAATAATTTTAAACCACATTTATTTATAGAAGAATAAGATGCAATAATATAAATTTTGCCACCACATTAAATATAAAAATAAAATTTTTCTGAGAATCCAGAAGAGTTGACAGGTATGATCAACGATAAACAAAACTCAGGCACAGATAAGTCATAGTATTAGTTTTTAATTGAAGTTTAAATTTTTAGTATTTTTCTAGCTATTTGGATTATTTCCATTTTAACTCCATGATGTGTTGTGTGATGAATTAAAAAATGGAGACAAATCATACCAAGCTCCTTATTCAATACAACTGACAAACTACCTACTGAATACAAATTAAATCCAATTCAAAGACAATGTTTGTACCAGAAATGTTTACATGGAAAAATTGCCTAAATGAACACAGAAAGTTAGATTTATTAGTTCTTTAATTAGAACTTTTTTTTTTCTTTGCATAGTAAGATGCAATCTTCATGATTTGAAAGACCAGCTTCAAGATATGCTTATCAATAAGTAATAAAGAAATATAAAAAAAAAATTTTATCGTCAACAGATTAAGCTTTGGGACTGTTAACCATAATCTGGAAGTATGGTCAAAATAGTAACCAGGAGACTAGACTAATGTTTGGATCAATTACTGTTACATACCTGCCAACTCTTCCAGTTTTTCCCGAAAGATTTTTTTTTTTTTTCATATTTAAAGAGCTAGCATAATTCATGTTATTTCACTAAACTTTTGGAATTATATTAATAATTGTAAATGAGTTTGACCATCACTACATATAAATAATTACAACAAATATATAAAAAGCATATTAGTCCTCACGATAACGAATTTCAACTTGGTTAAAATATAAATATCTTTTTGAGTAAAACTGTTTTTCGGTAATTGTTTTACTACCACTTGGAAAATCCATTCTCGAAAAGAATGAATGTTGGCAGGTATGCTGTTAGTTTACCTTTTTCGGTATTTTGACTTTTTAATTTTTTTCACTTGCCTTTCTTTTTGAAGTAACGAGGCGGTTTCTATTAAGATAATGAGCTTTTATCAAAGTTCTTAACCACAGAATAAACGTATTGCTGTTTTATATTAACTGTGTCATTTCGGAATCCATTCTTTACATAGTTGTTCATTTACTTTAGGGAACACGTGGAAAATTATATTTTTTAATTTTGTTTTTCTATCAAAATTTTTTCAAGTTGCAATCGCGCAAACTGGCATTTCGATAGTAGTTTTAAATTCTTGTAAACTCACTGCAAAAACTGAAGAAAGTCATTATAGAAAATAACATATGTCTTAGAATATCTCGCAAAACGAAATGCTCCAATATTAGTTAGAGCTAGTAAGGCCGAACGCTCCATTCTTGAAGTAAAGGTGCAAGCTTTGCGTCAAAGTGACGTCACTAGAGAAAATAGGAGGATTGTCGCGGCGAGAGCTACTTCAAAGGAGTGAACCAGCCCTTCTATTCTCTTTAGCCCCGGCTCACCATAGACTCTACACATCCCTTATTACTCACATGTTTGTAAGTAAGTTATACATCCAAACCCAAGGAGTTTGAAGAGAAATTACTAACTTTTTTTGGAATTAAAAAGTTATTGATCATAATGCATTTCCCACAGTAAATGTTAAACATTCCAACTAAAATCACCTTTTCCAAGAAACTACGTTTCTCAAATTATTTTCACCAATAATGGAGATTTTTTTTCTTTCATAAGTAGCACAAGATTTCTTTTTAAAATACCTGATTTTTAGTTAAAGCATCAAAAGTTTATTTCTACTTTTTCTCATAAAAGCGAACTTTTGAAACTTAATAAAGATATTTGTAAAGCATTTAATTTTTTTATAAACTTGCAAAATCGAAATAATGATTTGTGAGATATTGATTGGAAGAGTCAGAAAATGCGACTGAAGTTTGAAGATTCATACTGCTTTGTGTGATACAACTTTTTGTTGGCTGCTTGCATCTTTTCCAAAAGTTAGAATGCTAAAAATTATTTTAAGATTAAAGTATTTTTTTTTTTAAAGAGACAATGCAGAGCAAAGCATGAAATTCATAATTTCTTAACAATTTTAAAATTGTGATTTTTTTTTATACACTTATAAATAAAAAATAGTTAACATTAAAAAAAATTAAAATAACAATATAATGCAAAAACTTTTTTTAAAAATGCTCTGAAAATCCAAATTCTAACTCACCAATTTTTGTATTAGAATATTATTTAAAAAACACAATTGTTTATCATAAAAAGTGGACATTACTGAATGTTGAGTCATTTCTGCACACTTTTTCTGGTTTTATCATTTACTTTAAATTCAAATGAAAATAGAATCTGAATTTATATAGATTAATAAATTTACATAAAATTTTTAAATTCGGGATATAAATGGTGATTTAGTTTGGAATTCTTATTCAATTAAAAAGAAAAAATTTTTACTTTAAGGGAAATCTTCGTCTTTTCTTTTTCTTTTTTTTTAGAGCACTTAAGTAATTTTTAAGGTTTGCAAAATCTGGACGAGTCGTAATTATCAACCAAAAAACGAATAATTAAATAAAAAAATAATTCTATAAAATATCAGCCTCATCCATTGGGGCTCATTAGTAAAATTGTGTCTATGCATCTTTGGTTTAAGAAAAAAAAGGTCAATATAAGATGACAAGAACCAGATTTTAAAAAAAAAAATTCAATAGTTATTAACCTTATTACGTAAAAAATACAATGAAATGGGTCGAAACATATCACTAGAAACTTTTCTTTCTTTTAGAAGCTACAAATATACAAAAACTTGTCAAAACATCATACTTTTAACCTTTAAAAGGTATCTTAGAGAAGTATTACATCCGTGACATTAAAAGTTCCAGGATACCTTTTAAAGGCTATTTAAATCAAGTTAACTTAAATTACAAATAAAAAGATAACAAACCTAACAAAGCTTTCAGCAACATATCCCAACAGTTACAGCAAAACCCCACTCAGAAATTTTTTCGCTTACCGATTGGTGAGCAGACATTCATTTCTGGCTGGGGATGGAGTAATTGAGGATTTACAAGAAAAAAAAAGCATTCCAAAAATAAAATTTAAAAAAAAGGATCAGCACTAATGAAAAAAAAAGCAGATAATTTTAAATAATAAATAGACAAAAACTGCATGCTTTTAAGAAAATAAAGAGTCAGGCAGAGTTTTGTAAGCTAGCAATAAAAAAACATAAAAAGAAAAACCAATGCAGAAAAATAAAATAAACTATTTACATCTGCCTGCAGAGTTAAAGGCCCAGATCCCAGTAGTGTGATCTGACACACCTCCATAGATAGGATTTTTTCGCTGTGCTCGCTCCGTACCAATCGGCCTTGGTAATTTGCGATCCTCACCAATAGTGCCAGCAGGGTTTGGATTCTCTTGCATATTCATACCAGTAGGTGAAGGTAAATTGCTTCCTTGAGGTGAAGCACTGGGAGACATTGATGCCATTGGAGACCCCTCATCTAGATTAGAATTTCAGAACGTCTTACATAAAGTATTGAAAATAAAATGGCTTTTTGTTTTCCACTCATTTAAATTTAAAAGGGACAAAACAATCTGATAAGAGAACGCCAACGAAAGCCTGGCACCTTCTAATCAGTACAGGAGTAAGAATTAATAGCTTCCCCCTAATTCAATTTTGGCTCCCAAAATATTCTTTTTTTTTTTTTTTTTTTTTNTGCTGATGATTTGGAACTTTTTGTTTCCTTTAATTTTGGTCTCCAGAATGATGGATATCGATTCTTCGACTCGTAAAAGAACATTTTGAGTCAATTTTGAAATTAAATAAAAAAGAGTTTAACAAATAAAAACTTATCAGAAATTAGGGGGAAAGGGAAGGGAAGGATAAAAATAAGAACACACAGATTACATATACAACAAGATGCACAATTCACAAACAAAGATAGTTAAGAAAAACATATAATAAACGTACCTGTTTCATTCAAAAATTTAGATTACATAACTTTACATTAGATCAGACTTAGTAGTTTTAACAGTATCAATCCAAAAGATTTTCTTTAATGTCGGTGATTACAGCAAATTAACATTTTTAATAAGTAATTGGTGATGTAAATGGATGAAAATTTTTATAAGCATTCGAATGAAAATAACAAATAAAAATTAACCAAAAGTTTTCCCAATTAGAAAATAATGATAAAAATCCACAAACTTTTAATAATGGTAGACTGAAGAAAATATTAAAACTGAAGACATTTTCAATTGTAGTAAATTTAGATGTTATGATTCTGATGATACCAATTTCTAGCAAGTCCTATTAAATTGGAATTACTGTAAAATCTTATAAAATGGTAGGAATTATTTTTACTGTAAAGGGAAATTTAGACCGGTTTTATAAAAAGATTGCTGAAAATCCATCTTCTCTAAATAACATAGACCTCCTGTAACAGTTTCATTATTTTACATGACATTTTATGATTAAATTTCATTTTATTATAATTACTGACAAGGCGGCCACTCAAATCAGGTTTTAAATTTTCCCTGATTTTTTTCAGTAAAAATCTTAAAATTTCCAGGTCAGGGTGTTTTTTAAGTGGGTGGAGGATACTAGAAAAGTGTCAATATAAAGTATTTTATTGAAAATGTTATTTTTTTTAATATATCAGCTTAAATAGATGTGAAGAAAATGTGTTCAGCTTGTAGAATATATTGCTTTTAATGAATAAAAAATGTTTTAAAGTGTTAAGTAGTTTTTGCACAAAATGTACTAAAGCAAATACAGAGTGACACACAAAAAAAAAACTTGGATAAGTTTTCATTCAGCAAAAGAAAATAATTTTAGATGATTATCCATCAATAAATTTTTTTATTTATTTTTATTTCAACATTGAATATTATATACCATATCTTATCCTAACAGGGCTCTTTATAAAATTCATTGATAATAATTTTCTTTAAACCAATATCTAAAGTCAAATGTTAAATAATGTTTTTTGTTTTGAATTAACACTATTATTTTAAGAGATACTCAGTATTTGCAAAGGCAAAATTGTTAACTTTTCGTTGCATATTATTTTATAGAAAAAACTAGATATTGGGCAATTCCATGATGTTGTACGCAAAAAAATGAACATAAATTTCTTAGAAAAACTATCGTATAAAATATAAGTTTAGTTTTTAATCATCTAATTTTTATATTAAATATTTAATACATCATAACCTATGGAAAAACAATTTGTTTTATAAAAACTGTTTATAAGTTTAAATTAAATTGTAGCTGTCGGATGTATAAACACGAAAGCAAAAAATGATAACTCATTTACAAATTGTTTGTAATTTAAATGGAAACTTGACTGAATTTTGAAGTTGACATTTGAATAAAAAATTCTATGCACTTGTAAAATATGATATATAAAAAATTTAAAATTTTTTACTTTAATGCCATATGTAAATTTTTCAAGTTTAATATAAATTTAAGTTAATGATAACCATTATAATGACTGATCTGATACTATATACTATAAAAATGTAAAACTATATACTACAAACTGATCAGATACTTAATACTATAAACATTATTTTTCAAATAAATAGCTTCTTTAAATTTTCTGCTATTTCCTGTTGGAATGGACAATGTGCTTTTATAACATTTTCCATCTTGTAAAAGTTAGCTGAAAAATCATTAATTTTAATTTTGACTGTGCAGTGTATATTAACAACAATTAAATGAAACTTATATTTAGATAATAGAAAGAATTTTAATGCAAGCAAAGTATTGCTAAATTGATGATATTTCAACTGTTTGAGAATAAATTTCCGTCTAAATAAAGTAGATAAAACGGATGGAAAAATAATTTAAATTAATAAAAAAATTCTAGCTTTTCCTTATAATTCCCTCATTTTTCCAGGTTTTTATCCAAATTTCCCTGATTTTTCAAGCATTAAAAAATTTTCCGATAATTTCAGGTTTTGCAGGTGGGTGGCCACCCCGTGAATTGTGGAACTTATCGCACTTATTTTTTTGGAACAATATTAAAAAGTAACAATAGACAACCAGCTCGATTCTTTCTAAAAAAGTTTTTTTTTTTTAATACAATACAATTTTTAGACTAAATTAATAAGTAAGACTCTTTTTTATAAATCACTAATGAAAGACAGAAAATTATAATTGATTCAGAGCAAATCTATATGCTCCTATAAAATTGAATTAATAAAATCTTCTAGAAATAGCTTTAAAAAATGCACTAGATGGTGTGATCTATTACGCAAATTAATAAGTCAAGATACTTAACTGATGGTTACCAGTTTAATTTTAAAATTTAACGAAGACATTTTAGCTCGGAATATAAAAAATGGCAAAATGAATTATTTGATTTATTAAAAATAAAATCTAATGCAGAAAAAGGTTATGTTTGACTATCATAGGATCATAAAAAATTTAATGGAATCAGAGAGTTTCTGGTTTTATGAACCATATTTTGAATGTGTTTAAAAAAAGCGTGAAAAATAAACATTAACAAAATTACTTAATGCAATGATTATTATCTAATATCAGGAAAAATTATACATCATTTAAAGCAAATTCAGAAAAGAAAATTCTAATTCATCTAATCCTTTAAAATAAATTACCTTTTGAAGATGTTCCAACAGAAGGCGTATTATTTGATGACCTTTGGCTTTGTCTCATCCCCATCATAGGCTGCATCCCAGGATAATGAATATTTCCAGCACCAGGAACAACTCCAGAGGGATGATATCCAGCGACCATGCTTAAAAGAGGTAATGAGTCTGCATCATGAGACATTCCACCCACTACAGAACTCATTCCACCATTAGAATTATTCGGATTGAATTCTCCACTTTGTTGTTGTTGTTGTTGCTGCTGATGATTTGGAACATGCTGGTAAGGGAACCTATTTGTCATTGCTGCTTGAGCTTGCTGTAGTGAAGCTAAGGTATGTAAATTGAAATTTGGATTTAAATTACTAGTGTTCGGTAACATTGGCCTAAACTGAGTGGCTAAAGGTGACGGCACAGAATTTTCTTGGAAGTTGACTGCACCAGATGGCAAACGCTGCAAATGATGCATAGGTGGACCATGCTGAGTCATCAGCAATGAGGGATTTCGACTAGCGAATTCAGGTGCATTAGCATTAAGATTACTTTGCACGACTTGCATGTTTCCATTATTTGCACCTTCAGGTAAAATGGAACCCACGGAGGACAAAGGACTATGCTGGCTAAAAGTGGTATTTGTTCCGCCAGGACTTGAAAGCGTTGAAGCCATTGGATAAGATTGCAGGCGACTGGGATGAGAAGATAAACCAAGTCCTTGGTGATGAAACATAACCTCTGACATTTGAGATGTCAAATGAGGGGCTGATGGAAGAACAGAGCAGCCACCACTTGACATTGACCTGGGAATTTCACTTAATGTAGAATTTTGGGATTCAGGTAATGAACGTGAGAGGTGGGGTCCAGATGGTGGTGGACTAGGAGCAATTGGAGGAGTAGAGCGACGTGCACTCTGTGCAGCCGAGGACGGAGGTCCTATGGGACCCAGTGGTGGGGTACAAGGTGCACTACGAGGTCCGCTACCGATAGGACCAAAATTGGAACTGTGAGGTATTCCTATTTGTGGTGGGTTAGATGAAGCTGAGGAGTTAGAGGAGGCACTGGGTGATATATGAAGATTACCCCGATAACCGGGTGCTTTTGCGACATCTACAATTAACTCTGGTTCTGCATTTTGAGGCAAAGTAAGTGTTAGTGAGCTTTGAACTGGATTTGAATTTTGAACTTGGGCAGCTACTGAAGTTACACCGGATGCTGCTACACTAGCAAAATTAGGTTTAGAATTTTCTTTATCTTTTTGACCCCATACACTTTGAGCAACTTTGGCAAAAATATTACTGAAGGGTGAATACTCTTGTGCAATAGTAGATTGGCCAGATGATGCAGAATTTAGGGTAGCATGTGTTGCAGATGAAGAAACAGTTACAGAACTTGTTTGGGCTGTTGTTGCAACTGGATTTACAAATGGTTTGGATTGGATAGGTGTTTGTGAGATAGATATTCTTGGCTCAACAATGCTATTCGTTCCCTGTTGAGAATTGGTTGACCCATTAGGAAGTTTAGGTGATTGGTTGGTGGTAAAAGGTTGAACCGGAGAAGGCCCAGAGCAAGAACCATGACTTAAAGCTATTTGACTATGCATCACTGCAGTGGATGGAGGGGCACTACCTGCTCTTTCATGAGATATCGGAGATATTGTTGAAATTTTTGTATCTGCAGCTGCAGTGACTTTAGAAGCTACAGAGACAATATTTGCTGGTACTGACTTAGAAGCTTTTCCTTGGGCAATTACAGCCATAGTATAAGATACTGTAGTTTTTGTTGAAGTAGTGGTACCAGGGGGTAAGCTACTATTCTTTTTATCTTGATTGAAAAGCTGTCTAGCAACAGGACTTTTATCAGGTGTAATTCTTGTAACTACTGGTGTTACACTCATGGATGACGACGGCGAGCAAATCGGAACTGACGGTCGAGGCATATTTGTCGGAACTTTACCTGTTACAACACCAGTCCAGGCATTTTGTCCATTACTAAGAAAAGGTGGTGTAGTAGATGTATTGGTGCCAGGAATACCAGGCCTAATATTCTGAGCATTTGATAAAACAGACCTAATTTGATTAGTAAATGGAGGAGTAGCATTAGCAGGTAAGCTAGGAGGTGGAATGGAAGTTGTCTTGGAAACAGATACAGTGAAAGTCCCTGATGTTTTAGTAACAATCTGTTGCCTTGTAGTTTTACTTAAATTAGAAGCAGTAGATACCTAAAAAAGAAAGCATAATCATGTTTCTCACGAATTCATTGAAAATTACAATTGAAAGCGGTACAGAAAAAAGAAAAGATTAACTCAAAAATAAATGAAGTACTATAATTAGAATTTTAGACATTTAATTGGAATTTATAAAGTTTCATCATCCATGATTGCGTAAGCAAAAATTGAATATACTTTTACCACAATTAGTTACTAAAATAAATAAATAAATAAAAATTTAAAAAATGAGAAATCTATTTTTTAGTATTTTTAATTCATATGTTTTTTTTTTGTGAAAAAATAAATTATTTTTATTAGTAATTATTTAACAGAAATTGTTTTCATTTCTTGTAAAAATACAAACGATCAATTATGGATAAACAATAAAAAATTTTGAAGCTAGACAATTAAAATGATATTAACATTCAAGGTTATCTTTTGGTACAAAATTTAAGGGGTCACAGTACCCAAAAAATGACCAAAATATTGAATTTTTTTTTTTATTGGTTATAATAAAACATCAAACTATTTCAAATGCACTGAAAAAAAAAATCACCTCTATCAACATTTTTAAAAAAGTCATGAATGATTTTTGATTGTCCTAATACAGAAACTTACTCAGCAGACAGACTTTAAAGTATTTTTTCTCATAGATCATAACTTTGTGTTCTAATCTTAACTAAATCCCTAAGGAATTTTTTTAATTTAAGATAAAGCTTTGAAGTAAACTTTTTTATCTCGAGTATAATGCACTTATTTAAACTGTGAATGGAATAAGCATTTTATGAGGTACTGCAATTTTTACAGCATGTTATATATACCTAACAGGAATTTTTAACCTTTTTTCCCCCTACTTTTTTACAAAATAATCTATAAAAATATTCTAATTGATATATCAGCAAGTGAATGCACAAAATTGTTAAGATGAATATTTTAAGCACTAAGAAAAAAAATTTCTTTTTGAAAATATATTTTATATAAAAAAGCCTTAAGGATTTAAAAATTGTGAATCATTTAAAAAAATTTTTAAAAAACAATTCAATTATTTTTTGAGGATAAATTATTGATTATAAGTTAAATGAGCATGTAAAGCATCCACAAAATGAATAATTGTACCTTTATTTAAAAAAAATTGTTGCAAAGATACTGTGACCCCTTAAACATGTAATGCTTCAATAATAACTAAAATATGACAAAATTTTTTCATTATATTTTTAGAAACTTGGTCCAAGAAAGTCTAACTAAACATATAGCACAACCAAAACAATGGATTTGTTTCTTTCATCTGCATTATTCAGTCACCTAAATCTCCCTCGTGAGTAACTTCCTGTAAATTATTCTTATTGAACAAATGATACTAAAGTCTAGTGGCAGAAGTACATTTTTACAATTTCACAGGTAAATCTATACTTTGAGATTTTTAAATAGTTATTAGGAAGATTTGTAGGTCATTGAGAAATAAAGAATATTTTTTTTTTGTATCTTCATTTACTTGTTTAAAAACATCAAAGGTTAAAAAAAAAAAATATTAAAAAATAATAATTTTATTAAAAAAAAGCTGAAAATTATTTTTTCTAGCTTTTGAAATAATTCATAAATTTAGGGCTTCTTATACGCTTATTTTGATCAGTGAACAAGTAAAATTGTTTAAATTGTGAAATTCAGTAAATAGGGGCCCCACTGTATTCTGCTTAAGGTATGAAATTACCCTTTCTTTTAATGATAAAAATTTGACAGTAAAATAAAATAGATAAGGCATATATGATTAAATAAATAATGACATTCAATAGATAAATATCATAGATTGATGCATTTCCTATCACTGAAATGAAAATTTTCTATTTGCTGTAATAGGCTGAATATACGATTTAATGCATATTCAGCAACAATGTTATTATGCAACTATGGCAATGAAAGAGAAATAAAGTTGACGCAAAAGTAAAAAATTTCTTACACAGACTAACCCTACAAGATTAGACAAATCTCACATAAGCTTTAAAATACAGAACAGTCTTAACACGCACATACAGATTTCATAGTTTAAGCATGCAGAAAGACAAACCTGTGCAGCAGATGGAAGAGGCTGGCTCATAACACCAATAGTTGCAGCAGTTCGATAACTTTCAGGAAATGAATTTGTGAGGCGATTTATGCCACACCTAGATAGTATTTCAGATAAATCCTTTTCAGGTTCTTTAATTAAGGCAGTTATTAACTGTTGAGCTAGGCGTACAGCTTCAGGAGAGCCCCTATAAGTACATGAATCAACCCTAGTTATTAAAATATGCATCTTATGTATCAAGACTAGAACACACAATTTATAAATGACAACACAACTAATTTAATTACAGATTTAAAGTAATTTTTAATCCACTTATGTTGGAACCTTCACAACCCTTATAAGGCCATTTTCAACTAATGCCAAGTCCCAAACCTATACTTCAACTTCGGAAAAAAAAGATATGTATTATTTGGCTGTTAATAACTGAAAAGCGTAAAAAATGTCAATACTGAGTTTATTTTCTTACATGCTTCCATTTTGAATATGTTTTTAAACTTAAATCCATAACTTTCTTGATTTTATAATATCTGAAATAAAGAAGAATATTACATAAGGTTTTAAAGTATCTCATCCCAAAACATACACATATCTTAATTTTATAATTAAAAGAAAATCCTATTTTCAAAGAGATAGCTTAACTTAAAATAAGTTCCTCAGTAAAATTAGTGCTTTCTATAAACCAGTTTCTAAATTAGCTTAATTCTGATATTTTGAAAATGTTGCTTGTCGTAATAATAAGGTGTTAAAAACATCAAGATTTTAAAATGGCTGGGTGAAAAAAAGACAACTAACCAACCTAGTGAAAAAGTGATAGGAATTTAATGTGGATTTTAGATCTAATGGAGCGTTTAGTAATCGAAATTTGCTAGCCATAACATCTTAAAAATATGAAACTTGAAAAAAATCACACAGAAATAGCTGAAAAAGAGACAAATGTCTGACAGAAAAAACAATCCATAAATGATGTAGATTTACATTAGCATTGTTGTGAGCTGAGCGAAACAAAAAGCTTCTTGTAATAGCACTGCATAAAGAATTTCAGATTTAGAAAGAAAAAGAATAAAGTAGAAGTGGCTAAAAAAACAATAGGGAAAAGATGTGGATTTATGGAGGAATTGAAATAGTCGTTAAAACATCAGTGCAACTATATATTAACTTTCATTCAAACAAAAACGAAGTTTACATGGTGAATTATTTATATAAAAACATATTAAAATTATCAGACACATTGAACTCTGACGAACAGAGTAACAAAACAACAACGAAAAGTAAGTATACAACATAACCATCTTCAACTAAACTTAAGTGCTCTCATACTATAGATAAGGGATGACATCATGAGCTATGCGTAATCAATCAACAGCAAATTGAGAGAAGAAAAAAACAACAACGATAGAACACTTGTAGATTATGAAGTTAGCGACGTAAGTTGAATGCATGAGAACACCATGTCATCAAAAACCGGTTTTACAAAATTGAAGAAAATCAAAACTTTATAACAATCAATCAAAATACAATAAAAAAATAGAAAAACCACTTTAGTATTTATTTATCTAACAAAAATATATTGAATTTGAAAAACCATGTGAAACGAATGAAAATTATTAATAATTTGTGAAGGAAAAAATACTACCTTTAAAAAAAATTATTAATAATTTCTGGGAAAAAAAACCATCTTTAAAAATGATTATTTATTACAGAAAAAACAATCAGAAACTTCAGGACCACTAAGTAGAAATGTTGGAGAAAACTTGCTTTATGAAGCGATGCACGAATGATTAAAGCATTCGGTGAAAGCTCGTTTGTCGTTTTAAAACTTAAGCCTGTTTTAGTAATTCCTTGACATTTTCCTAAAATTTCAAGAATCAATAAAATCCTTAATGATTCCGGGTTTTCAAAATTGCTGGACACTGTAAAAAGCCAAGTCAAAAGTCTACCTGTCATGAAAAGAGAAGTGATATTTCAGATAAATCTGAAAGCCACCCCCCCCCCCATTTTCTATAAGTTTTAAGTCCCAGTCATTTCTGCTGAAGTCTATTCAGTCGCATTGGCCGAAATATTGAAATGCCGTAGTTGAAATCCTCCTGATCGAAAGTTCTCATGGATTCCACGTTAAAAATCAGGTTAATTTCGAAATATGGAGTTTTGAAAATTGACCAAATCACTTTGAATGACTAATTAGAAATTACGCGAAATGGAAGTTCAACACTTGTTTTTTTTCTTTGGCCCATGTGGAAGGATTTCAACAACGACATATAAAAATTTCAACCAAGTAATCTAATTCCCATATAAAATGAATGGGGTCCTTTATTAATATACAACTTACCTAATAATCACGGTACGATCACCCGGTCCTTTTTGCTTTTCCACCTCTATATGGGCCCCTGAGTGTTCTCTGATTGCATTTATATTCATTCCGCCACGCCCGATGACTCTGCTGATAGCATTAGCAGGAACAGTGACCTTTTTGGATCTATTAAACAGTTTGCTAGGGAGAAGAAAAATATTTTTTTTTTAAATTACAGCAAAGAAAACAGAACAAAATTATACAACAAACAAAGGGAATATTACGGTAAGTTCTAAAACAATAAAAAGAAAATGAGTGATTTTGACAAATTTTTCGAACTTTTGCATTCGAGACCATTTCTTTCATGTTGTTGCTACTTAACATGGAATAAAGGTAACTGTAAGAGTAAATTTTAATCACAGCTTGAAACATTGTCATTTTAAGTTAATATCTCCAATGAAATACTGTATCCTGAACAACAACTTTTAATTTAAATAATACAGTATTTTCTAATTACCTTCAAATCAATTTTTGAAGAAAAAAAACTTTTTTTTAAAAAAAAAGAAATTTTTTTACATAGTTTCATAGAGTCAACATAGGTATGCATTTAAAGAAATAAATTGATCTTAAAATTGGACATCAAAAAATCTGTTTTAGAATTCGTAAAATTTTTTCTGAAAAAATTATTCTACTTTAAGGTACTTTAAATTAAACTAGTCAGGGATGATTGTAAGGCAAAGTGAAAAATTCTGAAAATTTCACGTGCAAAAGCTCGATACCACAATACAAACTATATTTACTTATTATAATTTTTCTAAACCAAAGTTTATAATTAAATTACTCACCAATGAAAAATATTACACCTTTACAGTAACTAATTTAAGAAAAACTTAGTTCTTCCAAGAATCTCATTATTTGATTTTAAAATCACGATATGTTTCACGATATTGAATTTTAAGAACGCGAAATTACAAATTGCGATGCATAATCTTTAAAGCATGTAAAAACAAATATCAATATGTAACTTTGAAATCACGTGAATATATACTAATCACATGATAATAATACATTAGTATTATTATCCCGGTTCATTCGATTACTAATGTTAGATATTAAAATCACGTATTCTGATGTAATTTCAAATAAACATTAAAACCTAAAAAAAAAAAAATTGGCAGAAGAATAATATTTATGAAAACATCTCTTTAACGAAATTTAGCGAAAGTTTCTAAATTGAAATTTTAGATTGTGAAACTCGGCAGGCCTTAAAATGCGCAGAATTACACGAAATATGTTAAAAAATCCCATGCTTTGAAATGATCTTACAAAAAAACCGGAATTCCGGGGTAAATCCGGAATACAATCAACTCTACCGGCTAGTTTCTTTTCTGCAACTTTTTCGAGTTGGAGTGGCATTTTTATCAAATTTTCTGATTTTTCAGATAGATAAAATTTCCTGTTCACCCAGTTCTGTGGTCACACTGAACTAATGTAAACATAGACAGTTGTAGTAGGTATTAACTTACCTGCGAACAACTTCTTTCCATCCTTCATCACGTTTTTGCCATTTTTTAGGAGAAGCACTACTTGTTAGGGAAGATTTAATAGTATATGGCAGATTGGGTGCAGATGGACTCCTTAAGCCAGCTGAGAGAGTTACATCAGTTGGAAGATCAAGTGCTGCTAATTCTTCCAGAGAGTCCCTACAACAATTTTCATATATTGACAGGCATAAAAATTTAACGTTTATTTAAAAAAAAAATTGACTAAAATTATCTGTTTATATTTGTATATTTAACATACACAACTGTCACATTGGTATTCTAGTAATTAAAAAAGTGTTAGGGGTAAGGATGGTCAGCGATGATAAAAATAATTAATTGATCATAAAATTTAATAATTAGCCTTCTAATTTTTCTTTTTATGAAATCATAGAGGTAAATAAAACTGATAACTTTTTTAAGGACTTTCATTTTACATTATTTAACATTTCCGTTCCTTAACTTTAGATTTCACTCAGTGACACTGATTCAAAACATTGCAGAATTTTGGCAATAAGATTTTCCTTTAAAAGCAACAAAATTGGCAAATTTCCTGCAGAAAAATTTGAAAGATAAATTTTCTTCGGATTTATAATCAAAAGATGCCTTTCTCACACATCAGAGGGGAAAGAAATGCTAGTGATTTTTCTATTCTCATTTAATAACAATGAAAAATAAAGGATAATGAAGAAAAGAAAACTTTGGTTTTCTTTTCTAAAGAAATTTTCGAAAGATTTTTCTTTCTTCAGAATTATATTCAAAAGATTTATTTCTTGAGCTTTGGAGAGAAAAAAATGCTTGTAATTTTCCTATTCTCATTTGAGATTAACGATAACTAAAGATTAATAAAATAAAAATTGCTGCAGCTTTTTTTTCCTCTGCTGAAGTCGTTTCATAAACGCCTTTCTTGGGCATTGGAACGGAAAGAAATGCTAGTGGTTTTTCTATTCTTATTTGAGAATAAAAAAAATTATATTTACCAGCTTTAGCTAGAATTTCGATTAGATAATATACAGATATATAAAAGAAAATGGAAATTGCGAAAGTTTAAAAGATATTTTGCTCTAGAAATATAGTTCTTTCCTTCATGAACACCATATTTTACTTTTAATAAAAAATGACTGTGAGTGAGGATTTTGTTGCAAATTCCCATTTGTAGCAAAATAATTAATGAATCAATTCCATACACTTGACCCTCCTATTTTTCTAAAATTGAGTTGAAATAAAATCGATCCAATAATTTTATTTTCTTACGCTAATGAAAATTTTAAATCAAGCATCTGTCTTTACTTTATTGCGCACAACTGGCACAGATTCCATCGTAAATATATGTAGTGTTTTGATAATTTTTATCAGCAACTATTGTTTTCAATTTTTACTTGATTTTTTTGAAATCCCAAACTCTTTTATTGCTTAGTTATTATGATATTCTCTCGATTTTTAAAAAAAATACTGATATTATTACGGGATGCAAAGTTTGTATTGCAAATTAAAAGAATCACACGCTCAGACTCTGCCGATATCCTCGTTAATCTATACGATGTATCAAACTTTATTTTAACAGTTATTGCTACAAATTTTCTCATTTTTATAAAAAAGCAAAGCCTGATACTTTTTATACAATTTTATTACATGAGGAACTCAAATAACATATTTGATAATTTACTTTTAATGTGACGATTTCATAATATTTTATTCTTTTACTTGACAGCTCTACCAATTTCCATGATACTTTTCAAATGCGCTATTTCTTAGTTGATATTACTTCTATACTCAAAATTTGAATACAGTTTAAATACAAACTTTTTTCACACGCTTAATTTATGCAGATAGAATCGTTAATTTATGTAGCGTTTCGATTGTATTTTCATCGATATTGAATTAAACAGATTTTTAAATATCCCATTATATCTGACAATATGGAAAATTCAAATTGCATATTTGAATGTTTATCACGATTCAATAGATTTTTTTTGGCAGTTATTGCTAATTGATTTTCACATAGTTAGTCATAGATAACATATAGAATAATACTACAAAAGAAAAATTCTCTAAAATTATGAAAATATACAGAAATAAAACATAACAAACATACAAATTAATGAATAAGCCTACAGTTATAAAAAATAAAAAGGGTGCTTCAGAAAAATATTAACAAACAATGAAATGTGAATATTTTTGAATAAATCATTAAAATAAGAAAGAAAAAAAAACACTTTACATTCACGAATTAAAAAATACTTACAGACTTAGCTTTTCTACCGCACTCTTGCTCTTTAGACGTGGGGAAGAAAATAGTGCTCTAAGTTCTTCATATTCAGAAACTGCATTGCTACTTATGCCATTCATAAGACCATCTTTGGACTTGTATAGCTTATGATTAGAAGTTTGGCTCTTGACTTCCACATTAGAACTTGAAGTATTGAGAGGCGTTGAAGTAGTAGTGGAATTTTTCAAGGTAGTTACAGAGGGTACAGTTACAATAGTTGTGCAGATCACAGTGACATCTTGCTTTTGATTCCGTTTTTTACTATTTCGGTTGCTAGAACAAATTGAGGAAATGTTTATCACAGCTGTTTCAGTAACTTTAGGTATAATTTTCTCCGTCACAACAATCTCATTTGAGCTTTTGTTGCTATCAGAATTTGAGGACTTATTTACAATATTTCTCTTGTTTTTATCCTGAGTTTTGGTTCGTTCCCTTTCACGACGCCTTTCAGACCTAGACATCTCGTTACCCGATTTTTGATTTGATTGGTTCTGATTATCGAATTGGCTAATTGAGATAGATTCTTTTAATTTATCTTCATTATTTGGTAAATTTGTAATTCTTCCTTTACTTGGGCTGTTGAGGGTTGTCTTTGACGATTCAAAATCTGAAAAAAAGTGACAATGGAAGTTAATAAAATGTATACAAATAGGTATAATCATAGTTTGCAGAAATGTCACAGCAGTTTCAGAAAAAAAACTTAACTTTGTGCAGTTACAAAACTGAAGCAGGTTTTCAAAATTACGAATTAAATTACAACCCAATTTAAAGGAATTACTATATTAAATAAAATATAAATTTACAAATTAAAAAAAATAATATTTATTTATAAATATATTTAATAATTTCAATTCGAATTTTAAGATTCCTTTATTTCAAAATGCCATTACTCATTAAATTGGTATAATTTCTTATAAAGAACATATCTTAAGATTTAATATTCTCTTGAAAATTACAATTTGGTTCAGTACTTAATAAAGTGTTTCTCTAGTTTTGAATGTAACTAACTTTTTTTTTAAAAAAAAATTTTTTTTTTTGAATGATTTCTTGGTTTACCATTTTCTGTGCACATAAATTTTTTTAAAAAAAAATTACGCCCGCCATTGTCTTCTTAGAAATAAGGCGCCTTGCAGTCCAATAGAATAGTGAAGTGTAGCTCCAGAAAGAGAGAGGGCACGAAAGTCGTCACAGGAACGAATATCAAGAGAGGGGCAATCAAATAGATGCTCCCCAGTCATAGGCGAAGTGTTACAAAGCACACAAAGAGGTGAATATTAAATATGGACTAAAATCATTTAAAATAAACTGATTAAAGAGAACAATTAAAATCCCTGAAACAAATTATCTCCTTCATATTTATAAATAAGATATTTATACTTCACTATTACATATTTATACTTATTATATTATATATTTATATTTCACTATATACTCATATACACTTATTTACTAATTTTTAAAAATAATAAATAAGAATACGACTTCTAGTTAACCCTATTAAAATTTCGTAACAAAAATTTTTATTTTTTATAATAACCAAGTCATAAAACTTCAGAAACAAATTCAAGAGTCATAAAAATTTAACTTCTTTACTTGTTCCATTTATATCGATAATATCGTAAATCCATGAGGTGTTTCAATTTTTTTTACTGCTATTCATATTAAGTTAAACATAGTTTTTAAAGATTCAGATAAGCGAAACATGAAATAAAACACACATTTAAGTAGCCCCTTTTTGAGGAGTGTGATTTCTTGTTAATCTTTTTTCGTTATTACTGTCAGCGATTTCACAAGTTATGTTTTTAATTTTTAAGACAATGTCATCAAAATCAAATTTTTAAATATTGTCAATAACATGCCAACAGACCCCATCTCAGAGGGTGAATATGGCTCATAATGTTAGAATACGTATTCTTCTACATGTAGATCAAAAATATCTTACATTTACAACTAAAAAAATTACATAAAATTTAAATCTGGGCGTGGTGAATTTTTTTCTTTGTGTAACCACAAAGTGCTTTTAATATAATTAATATAATCTTTTTAAGTTAGTAATATACATATTTGTTATTAAAAATATCCTAAAGTGTTACAGAGATTTGTTGCAGAAAGCTTGAAAAAATTCTGTCGCACAGTTAACCAAAAACGATACTTGTCAGTGGTCAACAATGTGGCTATGAAATCAATATTTAGAACCTTTTACTTTACTTCCATATTCAATTACAAAATAATTGCCATTGACATAACAAAGTTTCTGTGTAAGAATGATAAGAATAAGAATTTTTAAGTTCATAATGAAAAAAAGTTGATAAAAGGGTAATTCTTAATATGATTAGAATTGCAATTTTAACCTTTAACTGTTTTAGAACTCCTTTTCTACACATTTAGTCAATGATTATAACAGTTTTGAGATATTAGAAGGTTTTTTTTTTTTAATGAGTTTTGCTATTCTTAAGAATAAGAAAATCAAATTATTCAAAATATACATCTCAGAACAGAAAAACCAAATAAAAACCCTTATTAATGAAGAGGTTTCTTACTTGTGCTTGGTTTTACAACTCTACTCTCTTCATCATCTTTCTCTTCTTCATCTTCCTCCTCTTCTTCATCATCATCTTCATCCTCTTCATCTTCTACATCAGACTGGTCGCTTTGATGGTTAAGTTGATTTTTGTGTTGAGAATCACTCTTTTCAGACTTTTTAGACTCCTCCTCAGCAGCTTTCGCAGCTCGCATCTACACACAAATTTTAGAATAAATAAGTGGATTTCTCAATAAAGTACAAGAGTAATCAATGGCAAGAAAGCAAATAATAACATTTTAAGAAGAATTGTAATATTTTGACTGTTAATTCAGGTTTACAAGCACTAATTTATGCATATTTTAAAAATTGAATTTTTTAAAGTATTACAAAATTTAAAGTTTACTGAAATTTGTTATCTAATGACTTTTTATCACTTTGAATTTTTCAGATCCCACAAACTTAAAATTTTGTCCTACTAGTTAATAAGTGTAAAAATTCTGCAACAGCACATTACTGTCAATTCTGTAAAAAGAATTTTGATGCAATTAATTTTTTTTAATGCACAAAACCATATAAGTTTCCATAGCAATGTGCAAATGTAATTAATAGTGTTAAGTAAAAGATCGTTATATTATATATTAACTTCAGTAAATAAATAAAATCACAAAATGTACATAAAATATTAGAATTAATTTAAAATTAAATTGGTTGATAAGAAAATAAATTAAAAAATATCTTAGGACAATCATATCAGACGTAAATGAGACTATCAGAGAATATCAGAGTTAAATGGGAATATCAGAAATTTAAAAAAATTTATGTAGGAATCAGGGTTTGTTGAAAGTGATTTAAAGAAAAAAAAAGAAGAAAAAAAAGAAGAAAAAAAACATTCCTTATTCAATTCAACTAAAAAAAATTTTATTAACATGATCTTTAAATCAAACATTTTTGAACTAATTTTATCTTTAAATATTTTATCAACTAATCTTTATCTTTATTAAACTAAATGAGTAAATGGAAGACAATTTTGGGACTGATATAGCTCGATGATCGTTGACTACTCTGGACCCACAATAAGATGCTTCATCAGCATATAATTCCAAAGTCAAGATAAGATATTGATCTATAAATAGAACAGTGTAATAAAGTAATCAGCTGTATTTTTTAAAATAGATTAAATCTAGAATTTTTAAGAAATATTAAGAATTTTCTTTACTTTTCATTGTAAAAACATTATATTGCCTTAGAACCAGATTTTGTAAAAAAAACACACAACAGTTTAAAAACTAAAACTCTTTTTATTTTTTAAATTATATTTTGATATTCTGAATCAATCAAAAGTTGGGACAGAATACAAAAAGTATAAGTATCTAAACACTTGTAAGTAGATTGTTTTATCTCAATAACATTAATAAGCCATTAATTTGCACTTGAGTTTTAAAATTGTATATTCTTATGTTTACTAACAATGTTCTTGCTGTCAAATAATTATGTTCTTTTACTATGAGAAATCTGACAAAAAAGGAAGAAACTAAATATGTTATAACATAATCAAAAACATTAAAAATTATTCAAATAGTTAAGTAATTATAAACCCTCAGGTAAATAACATCCCCTTTGAGTGTATTTCATGTAGAGACAGTAATTACAGTGACATTAACCATAAAATGATAGTTGTTGACAAATAGATGAAAAACTATTCCTTTTTCTTCCATTTAATCATTCATGTTTTATAAAAATTATATTTAGTGGAAATCGAAAATTTTGTACTTACTAGGCATATTTTAGAAGAAAATCAGAACCAGTATTTGTATCCAGTTAAGTCCCCATTGGGTTCTTTTAAGGTGAAATTATGCTTATTGACACTAAAAGTAATGGTATTACAATTAAGCTTAACTGTTCAGTAGAGAAGATAATTTTTTGTAATCTGAAAGTTATATTTCATTCAACTAGTGTTAACTGGCTATGCCCCTACTATCAACTAGGGCTTAGAGTGTTTTATTGGCACTTTTTATATTTGTGTCAGTAATTGCACAAAAGTTATGGATCCCTACACAAAATGATGTGCGCATACAAATTAGCCTAAGAATATTGATTATACTTATTCAAGTAGACGGACATACCATATCAGGATATGTTTGCATTAATATCTAACACTTGGGACATAGGGCAATAATGACATTTTACCTATATTTCATTTTTAGAAAAATATAATTTAAATTCAAAATGTGTCATATGCATATTTTTTTTAAAAATTTCTCATGAGTATTTTAAGCAAATAATGAAAATAAATATTTCAATGTGAAATATTGTTCAAAGACAGAAAAGTTCAACAAATTGCCAAAATACCCCCAATCTCTTTTGTACAGCATATGATGATCTGAACACAAACATTTACCTGCTCCTGCTTTTCCCTCTTCTTCCTTCTTTTACGCTCTCTGCGTCTTGCTGCAGCTGCTTTTCTGCTTTCTTCACGACATCTCTCAAGGTCTATTTCTTCCAACAGACTATTAGCAAACTTATTGGCTTCAGCTGCTTGCCTCTCTTTTGCGATTCTTATCGTATCAACGCACTGGCTACATTTTTTAAGAAGATCCTACAAATAAAAATGAAAAACATGTAATGATAGTGAAGAGAGTACTTAGAAAAGTTACCAATTTTATAGAGAACACGTAAGTCAACAAAATGAGAAAGCAGTACTGTAAAGGGTCAGAATAGAATAATTTTTTCTGTGAAATGAATATATGCAAAATTCAGTTACAAAAATATGCCAAAATATGTTATTTGCATCAATCAGGCAATTTAGTTAAAGATAATTCAATTCACCAGAGATTTAATACATCAATAATACAAAATAGAATGATATAAATGATGTTAAAAGATATAAGATAATTTATCAACAAAAACAGATAGAACATCAGTCATGCCAATGCACTTTAGCTAATTAAGGCAAGAGTATCCTAGAGAATTTCTTTAAAACCATTTTGGGGTGCCATCTACAGAAAATTGTATGCAAATATGCTAGAGACTAAACATGTTCGCATCCCATCTATTTATGTATATAACATGTTTCATTGACATCTCAATATACTTGTGATAACAATATGGAGTGAGAATACATTTTTAATAATGTTATCAGAGCTGAGGTGGCTCAGGGGATACTGCGCTCGAGTCCCAATGAGTTGAGCCGGGTTCGAATTCCGGCGATGGCTGACTTACACTAATTCTGCATTTGGCTCACACAGACCACAGTGCTGACATAAAATATCCTCAGTGGTAGACAGATTGTGAGTTAGAGTCCCCTTGCCGTCAGGCTAACCGCGGGAGGTTTTCTTCTCCGTAAAAAGGCAAATGCGGGTTAGTTCCATCAAAAAGTCTTCCACGAACGCAAGTTTCTACCCCAGGAGCTCCCTTGTCTCCAGGATTGGTTCAAAATTACAAGGCTACAAAGTTAAACATTGGTAATCGTAAACTGAAAATTCAGTCGGCTGTTCAACAACCATCACAAAATAAAATAAAACAGTGTTATTGAGACAGTTAAAATGTTGTAGTTAAACAAAGATTATTTGCCATAACTTGAGGTACAATGTAATCAATTATCTATATCAGTTAATAATTTATTCATATTAAACAATTAAATTCAGCTAAATTTTCAGTTTGAAGCAAAATAATTTGCTGCAATTTAAGAAGGGCAAAAGGATTAAAAAAAAAAACTTACTTTATCAGTGATGGTGCTCATATATCGGGCCATTTCCTGATCAGATGGAAATTGAGACACATGCTTAACCATCCATTTTACTACTTTGACATGCCCTTTGCGAAAAGCAGCCATTAAGCAGGAAACTTTACGATTATCTTGGCTATCGATATCTGCACTGTTAGCACATAAGAGTTGAACAACTTCTAAATGCCCACCTAAAAATGGATGTTTAGAGATATGAGATGTACTGAAAATTTAATTTAATGAAAATATACAAATGGGGACCCAGTTAAATTAATCTTAATATTAATTTTATGCATTTAGAAACAAAATTAAAAAAATGTTAATAACACAAAAAAAATTTGCAACTGAAATTTTGCAACTGAAATTTTTTTATTTTACTTACCATTAGCTGCTAACCACAGAGGTGAATTTCCTTTCTTATTCTTTACTTCAACAGTAGCGTCCCTAAAAAGAGTTTTTAATTAGATTGTTATGCAGAAAAAAAAATGATAAACAATAATGTTCAGAAAACACACCTTAAATAAATCATAAATTTAGAGTGAAATTTGGGTACAATAATTAAATACAATTTTGATTTCAACAATATGATTCTTTATTACAAATAACTTTAATGAGACATGTGATTTGTTAATCATTTTCATGCGAATCACTATGCTTGATTTATAATTAACAGAATCTGAAGAACAAATTTTACCTATTAAAGGTAAAAATGAAAAGCAAAAATCTGAACGTAATTAACAAAAAAGTTAAATAAATTTAACGTAACCATCATATTTCAAATTCGAAGCGCTGCATAGGGAGGTAACTAAAACTACGTACAAAAACAAAAATTACTTGCTAGGGATTCCGACTTACTAATCATTAAGGTGAACAATAATCTGGGTAAAAAACATATGTAGGGGGAAAAAAAGTATTTACCTTTCACCTTCAAGAATTTACTCATTGGAGCTTTTCAAAAATTGCATTAGTGCAAATTTCTTTACCATTTCATATTTGATAGCATTTTAAATTGTATATATCAGAAATTACCCGATTTTCAGAATTGGAAAAGAAAAAAGTATCCGAATTTCGGCAAACTCCTTTCGTTTTCTACAAATCGAAATAAGACTTCATTTTCATATGATAGTTAATAGAATAAAAGTTTCAAAAACCACACAATTCAAAATTAGTGCATTCTACACAAGGTTAGAATGAGCCTAATATTAGACATTGTGTCGTTCAATATTTACTTTTCCCTATTGGTATCCCTACACCCTGCTCGTATTTTGTAATCCAGTCACAGGAGAGCGGTAATAAATAAGGATAAGGGTATTTTCTAAACTTAGATCAGACTCCGAGGCTCCGACCTTGAATTATTCTTACAGTAAAGAAAACGGAAAAAAGAGGGGGAGTGGTCAAGATTTCTATCATTTTGCCTGAAATTTCTTTTTCTTTCTTTCTCGCTATTTTAGTAGAAAACATTATTACTATTTTCAAAATTAATCCGAGAAAATCAAAAACTTTTCAAGGACCTTATCATGGAATTCGAGAACTTTTTGGGACACTGATTTTTTCCAACAAAATTCAAGGACTTTTCAAGGTTTTTCAAACACCGTGGGAACCCTGTCCTAGTTAGACACAATAAATAAATGTTACCTTTCAAGTAAAAGTTGAACAAATCGATAATGGCCCTTGTCTGCAGCAATTGTTAGTGCAGTATCTCGAGAAGAAGGCACAGGTGGAGCATTGACATCAGCTCCTTTATCGAGCAGAACTTTACCTACTTCCACGTAACCTCCAGATGCAGCTTCCATTAAAGGTGTTAATCCAGTCTAGAAGAGAGAGAAAAAAGTTATTTAAAGAACAGGACATACTAAAGATTAGACCTGAAAATAACCACTTGCCATATGGCAAGTTAAAAAAAAAAAAAAAGAAAGAAGACTTAAATAAACAACTGGTCACTTTCCTCCATTGCTTTGGAAAAAAAAAAGCTTAAAGATGAAACTACATCAATGCAGAAAGAGACTCTGGAAAACGGAATTTTCAATGTCACCATTCAAAATTTTGAATCAGAATCCATTAATTAGTGGAAAAATTCATGTGGAAAGAGAGTTCTTTAACAATTCACATATTTCAAAGTTGTAATGTATACAATGAATGTATTTTGCCTATCCAAATACATGTACATTGAGTTCTTTAAAGGCAGTATGTTTGACTAAATTTTGTTACACATTTATACTATTTTTATTGTTAAAATAAACTTTTATTGCCGTAGATTATGATAAGATTTTTTTTTTTTTTAAAGAAAAGTTTGCAAAAACTCTTTATTGAATTAAAAGGGCCTATTGACATTGGTCGTCACGACTCAATGGGTTTGAGGGGGAAATGGCTACTAAGTCAGTGTCTTCCGGCCACTGACAACTAACTGAAAAATTAGCATAATTTAGGTTCCACTAAAATGCTGTACATAATAAGCTAAATAATGATAAAAGAATGTTATTAATACAACATCATTAAATCAGTGATGTTATTTTCTTTTAAATAATATTACACTATACACTAACATACATTCAAATTTATTTTAATATTAACATGCTTATTTTGAAACGGATTAAAAAAAAGTCTATCAAAATTAATTTAGTTTCTTGAATTAATTCTTAGTATCAATGAATTATTTCTTATTTTATTCAATTATTTCTCAGTATCTATGAATTATTTATTTTATTCAAATATTTCTCAGTATCTATGAATTTTTTATAGCAGAAAATTCATTATTTTCAGTTATGAACTATACATAGATTATTAAACATATGGCTTTAGTAGAAATCAATCTATATAAAATACTTCCAACAAATACAAAAAGCGAGAATCCATGAATAATAAGAATATACAACAATAAAAATATGTGAACAATAAAAGAGAACACTTGATATTAAGAATAGTAAAATTGAAGTGAACTTCACTGAAGTTCGAATATAACTTGAGAATATTGCCTCTTCTTTGAGATTCTTTATAGAGTCGTGAACATGATATGTGTTCCGCATTCATTTTACCTACTCTGTAGATTTGACATTCACCTGTTGGAAGGATGCCAGTGCTGTTTAGATGTTAGCTAAACAATCTTGACCTGTTTCAAGAGCAATAGATTAAATTAGCAATAGATTCCATACAGGATGCATGACAATAGAACGTTTCAACGTTTCAACGCTTTTTCAAACGTTTTCCTTTGGATAGAAATTCTTGCTCTGTTCTGTGTGTTGTATTAATTTTATTGTAAATTTGCTTCTTTAAAGAACTTGTAAGAAAGTGGCAAGGTTAAGTGGTCTTTCTTTGTACCCATCTTTGGTAAAGAGTCTGCTCATTACCATCTATACGTGTGACGGGATCCATTGAAATGCTATTAGTTTATTATTACTAAGGGACATGATTGTTTGTTTAAAATGAGAGATGATACAAGATTCGGTTCGATGGCTCATCATAACTGCTTGTGTTGCAGCTATTGAGTGTACCAAAATTATGGCCTTTGTAAAAAAGTAGGACATTTTCTAAAATGCTGTTCATTGTTTGTGAGATGGCATGTATTTCAGCGTCAAAACTAGATAGGTTTTCCTATGGCAGTGTGGCTTGAAAACAGTTTGCTATATTCTCCAGCTTTGGTCTTATTTTGGAGCCATAAGTGAAAATTCTAATCCATTCAGGTTCTGTGTCTTTTTCATCCAACACGCATAAGGAAGTGGCTCTCAAAATTGGATCTAGTGAATCTTTCTTGTTCAAATTGTCTATTTCTAGATACGTCTATTTCCATGTAGCTAAGAGAGTTTACTAGGTTTGTATTTACGTCCATTAATTTTTCTACCTTCAGCAATTTTTTTAGAACTTTCGATTGCAGATCTGTTTTTAATGTGCTTGCTCCTTTAGCTGTGATCCAGCTTGCCTTCTATGAAGTTTTTAATCTAAGGAATGTTCCTAGATATTGTCTCTTTCTTTCTACGGTAATAGGAAAGTTGCTGGTATAATTTCTGCATGGCCAATATTGGAGTGGTTTTTACTGCACCTGTGATAATTCAGAGTGCTTTGTTTTGTACCCTTTCCAAAGACTATTTTAGTCTTAGGGGCTGTGATTAGTACTTTTCTTTCATATTTGAGGAATGGTTTTCCGTATGCGTTATAAGTTCTATTTAGAGTACAACTCCATAAGACTTCTGCAAGTCTTTTCACAAGTGATATTTTTTCCTCTACTTTTTCTAAAATGTATTTGATATGTTCTCCAAAATTCAGTTTGTTATCCAGGATCACTCCTAAGTAAGTGGTGCTATTACTCTCACTGAGAGTGGTATTTATATAGAAGTTAAAATCAAAATTTATGTGTGGTAAGGAAAAAGTTTGGTAAGTTGTCTTTGACACATTAATACACATATTATTGTCTTTTGACCAATCGTTCAATGTTCTCAGTGCTTCATTCAGTGTTCTTTTTCTTTTGGTCTTGATGTAACTCACGTCCGTGAAACCTTAAAATCGCAGGTGCCTCCTGAGTGGTAATAACTTTGGGTGCAGGCTTTGTTTTTTCATTGAGTGAGGAAGATGAGGAATCTTAAACAATAGATCCTTAGCAATATATGTCAATTTTAATGGGGCCCTATCATACTATATGGAGAAGGAAGCTATTGAGAAACTTCATGTTTATGGTATCAGAGATAAAATGATCAACTAGAATAAAAGATTTTTAACCCAAAGATGTATTCAAACTCTCAATGAAAAAGATTCCAAATACAAACAGAGCAAAATAGGACTATGTCAAAGGGCTGTTAGCAGCTGCTCATTTAATATTTATGTCAATGATTTGGTGATTTAACTTTAAAAAAATCAAGGACGAAGAATTGAGCCTGTTTGCAAATTACATAGTTAAACAATATTGATTCCAAATTTTTTTCCACCTCAAACTTGGTTACTTTTCTCTTCCACCTAAATTTAAGTACTGCAATTTTAAATTCCACAAGACTACAACCTATTTTCAGAAACTGGGTTTCGATAGAAACAACAAATTATGCTGGGGAAAAAAATTTACCATCCACATGAAACAACAGTTACTTAGCTAATGCAAAACATCTCCATAGTGGGTTTAAAACTTTCTGATATCATAAAATTACGTAGTTTTTGATGGATTGGGAAATGCTACAAACTTTATTTTCAAACTTTGAAGTTATAGCATTATAACTTATCAGGGCATTGCACTTAGGATGAGATAATATAAGGGCTCAATATTTTTTGGCTTTAAAAAAAATTCTACAATCAGTTAATTTTTAAATTTTTCATGAAGGCAAAGCAAGTACTCTAAAAAATATAGTACTGTTTTTCAAATGCACACCGTATACCTTTGTCAGGGTGCATAGTCAAATTTTTCAACAAAAAATAAGCACCATTTAAGCACTTAAAAAGAATTTTAAAGTACTTTTAAAAAATATAATTAGGATTAGGGTAAAAATATATCCTTTTGGAAAATAAAAAAAATAACACACTTTTAAAAAATTAAAATCGAAAATAGGCACTTTTAAGCAATTTTTAAAAATGCTATGCATCCTGTTTGTTTTTAATTTTTTACTTTGCATCTGTTAATGAAGATGTTACTAAACAAGAACAGCATTTATGCAATGATTGCTAATAGCAATTTTTAAATGTTTTCTTAGTCACAAACATTTAATTTTTTCAATACTGTTAGAAATAAACCATTAGAGGGAAGCTGATTAATTATTTTAAACTAATAAAATTAATTAAATTAAAATAGCCACACTTTAACTTTATGTCATATGAGATGATTGCACTCAATTTAAACTGCAGAGGAATGGGAGCAACAAGGTATTGCAAAGAAGTAATGTGAGCAGCTCATATTTTCAACTTAGTGTTAAAATCAAAATTAAATCTTCACATTTAGTTAATAAAAATGGCATTTTTTTTCATCAGTTTTTCTACATAAAAAAGGCACTGCAAAAACATAGGCATAAACAAAAAAATTTTTTGAATGAATTTTGGCTTGAAAATTAATGCTAAAACACCAAAATTATCTGTACTCAAATTTTCAAATATTTTGTTCTCAGCAAAATAATGTTTAAAAAAAATCAAACTGGGGAAAAAACAATATTTATGGTTCGTTATCTTTGAACAAAAATTTCAAAATGTTTGTTCAAAAAAGAATTTTTGTGTAGTTATAGAAATTGAAAATATGTTATCCCTCAAAATAATTTTGTTTGTTATCAAAATGTGTTCTATTTTATTTGATTTCAAATTAGACATGAAGTTTTGCAATGACCAGATAGATAAAAAGTTGATACTCACCTTAGCTCTGTGTTCCACATTAGCCTTCCGATCCAGGAGCAAACTGACAACTTCATGCCTCCCCTGAAAGCAGGCTAGTGTGAGGGCAGTATTACGATTTGTTTCAATCTGGGCATTGATATCACTGCCCATGTCTAATAAAAGCTTGACAGCTTGGGCATGTCCATTCATGGCCGCCAACATGAGGGGAGAGATGCCAAGTTTGCTTCCAGTTCTGCAAAACAGACAATTTCGGCACCTTGAAGTGAGAAATATTAAAATGCAAGAAAACCGTTTTAAACAACGAGCAGTTAAATACATGCAGGTTAAAAGGTTAAATAAAATAAGAGATATAAAAAAGTAAGTGCAAGACAGAAACAAATACGAACCTAGAATTGATTTCAGCACCATGACTTAGGAGGAGTTTGATGATGTTAACATAACCACCAGAAGCAGCCAGACTTAATGGAGTGTAGTCGGATACGTTTCGGTGCTCTTTGTTAGCTCCCCTCGCAAGTAGAATATCAACAACCTGTTTGAGTACAATGTATTATGCATAAATGGTTACACTGAATCAAGAAAATTGGAGTAAGAAGGGTACACAATCAATAAAAAATTGAAAAATTTGAATTTCAGAGAAAAAGTAGCAGACATTTAAATTTTACAATAAGTTAAGAAAATTATGCATGTAATTTACATGTGATGTGGTCAAGACTGTACTCAAGGAGGTAGGAGATTGAACAGGACTGCTAAATGCCAGATCAAATTTCCTTACAAAAAATTAATAGATTAATTAGTTTTTGTTAAATAAAATTGCAGAGAATTTCTTTACATCCATTTAAAAACTACTATTTTGTATAAACAGTCTTTAAAAATTCTACAAAATATTAAAATAAAGCTTTTTGTTCTTTAAGAAAGGAGCCAGTAATAAATTTTGGCCTGGGGCTGGTAAAACCATTGTTCATTCTTGGATGCAGTTATCTTCGTACTCCGCTGCACTGAAGTCGATTGTAATTGTAAAAAAATTATTAAGAATCAATAAATTTAAGTGGAGAAATTAATGATAAATACATTTCACTTACTTCATATCTACCACCAGAGCATGCCAAAGATAGAGCTGTATCTTTCGTCCTTTCAGACTGAGCTTCGATATCGGCATTGTTATTCAGAAGAATTTCAACAACTCCAGCATGACCAGCAGTTGCTGCGAGCATCAGAGGAGCAAACCCTTTCTTGTCACGATGTTCAATATCAGCTCCCCTCGTAAGAAGTAAGCTGACGAGGTCTTCGTGTCCCCCAACACACGCTAAAGTAAGTGCCGTGTCATGATTACTGTCCGTCTGAGAATTTAAATCGAGAGGAGGGTAGGTAGGGGGTGCTTGAGATGTTGGTTGAGGGGGAGGCACAGTTGGATGCACATGTGGAAGATGCGAGATACATTCACTCGTTGCAGACACTTGAGCTGGAACATAAGGCATAATTGATGGCGTCACTGAATGGAAGGTCATTGGCAAGGAAGCTGATGGATTGACACTAGGTAAAGAAGACATCGATAAGCTACGGCTCTTGCCTCCAGCTGCAGTCAGATTTACACAGCTTTCGACACAAGGTACAGATTGCTGCATCAAATTCATGTGAGTCCCTGCTAGCTGTGTAGTGGGACCTATAAGAAAAACATATTCTAAATAATAATATAACCAAAATATTACCAAAATATATTTAATTTTTTTTTCTTCTTAAAATTACATAAGGAAAGTAGCTAGACTTTCGACAATAATGTTCTGACTTATGAACATTTAAAAAATTTATGTAACAGATTTCCTTTTGCTAAAATTTGTTGATTATTTAGAAGGATTTATAACAATTCCACCCACTTCATAATTTGGCATTTAAACGGTTAAGTCTATCTACATTATTTTAATGTTATAAAAGCAGTTTTTTTATAATTATTTTTTTATAGATTTTTTAATTATTTTTTTATAGATTTTTTAATTATTTTTTTATATATATTTTAGATTGATCTAAAATTTTTTGATTAAATGGTTTTGATAGAAAAGAAACAATATTCAAAGACATGTTATTTAATTATGTATCGCTATATTGCAGCGTCTAACAGACGTTGCCAACAAGTTGTGACATGCTGAAATAGATAGAGGATAGAATAAATTAATGGTTCATAGAATAAATTGAAATAAAATTAAACAAAACCTACCAGACATGATTTCTCCTAAGGTATCGTGAAGAGTTCTGGCAGGTGCTGCAACCATCAATCCACTGCTGTCACTAGTGAACTGGAAATTATGAGGAAAAGGTTCACCACAACTAGTTGTTATTGGAAGGGTATGACTAACAGGCTGTACTGCTATAGATACAGGAAAAGCTGGAGTAGTAGTTCCACTTAATGCCAAAAAACCAGACCCGTCAATAGGAATGTTTCCAACAAGAGTGCAAGCTTCTCCCCCACAATGAGAAGTAAGCTGTTGCTTTAAATTCGGATGACTTTGAGTTGCTTGAACTAGGGTAGCTAAAGGAGAAGGGTTTACATGCAACAGAGAATGCTGTTGTACTTGGTTGGTTTTAGCTTTGATCAGCTTAATATTTTTTTCAAAGTGTTGCTGCTGCTGTTGTAGCTGTAGATTCTGCTGCTGTTGTTGGAGAGTTTGCTGTTGTTGTAATTGTTGCTGCTGTCTTTTAGATTCTTGTTGAATGACTTGCGTTAGTTGCTGGTGTTGAACTAAATGCTGCTGCTGTTGTTGTAGAAGAGCTTTCCCAACAGTCACCGGGTCGTACATTGGAATAGCATGAGTCTGGGTACTATCTGATGTTAGTTTAATTCCTCCCATGGCATGCATTATTCCTGCAATGGCACCTTCACAATACTGAGTGCCTTTAAGGGTAAGATTCTGAGTGAATTCAGAGAGAACAAACTGCTGTTGTGTATGCTGGTGAAGCAACTGCTGTTGTAACTGAATTTGCTGCTGTTGCTGCTCATTCAAAACAATATTTCTCAAGTTCATTTTTTCCATATCCTCTACCAAATTTGTCTCAGATTCAGACTTTATTTCATTTGGTCCTATTTGGTTAGGCTGTGACTGCAGAGGTACCTGTTGCTGCATTTGTTTAGGGATATTGTTTTTAACTTGCTTTACTGGTTTGCCAACTCTGGCTTTACAATACTCAGCAGCTGGTGTCGTGGTTGTAGTCGCATTGGATAGTTGTTGTTGGAGAGCTTTTTGCTGATTTTGGTACAGTAACTGTTGAGCATGAAGAGCTGCGGGTGAAAAAGGAACACTAGTTGTTGCAGTAGTGGATTGAAGATTTAAACCTAACTGACTTGAAACAGAAGAGATATCTGTAAGAGAAGCTAATGATTCAAAGTCTACTACAGTTCCGCTATTAATTAAAAGTTGCTGGGTACGGGAACCAGGAACAGCTGTGAATGAATTCACAGAGTTACTGGTTACAGCTGTTAAAGGTGCACCAATGATAGTAGCACCTATTGGGTGCAAATTTTGATGATGCTGAGTTAGTAAGAGTTGAGCTTGAGCTTTTTCTTGGAGTTCTCTTTCAACCCTTTGAAGTTCCTCAAGAATTTGCTGCTTCTGTACTATTTGCTCACTTGGACAAGGATGTAACATTTCAGCCTTCTTCATCATTGCATTTATACAGTTTTCGAGTCTTTCGCTAGGTTTTAATTCAGTCTCCTCAATGGTATCAATATTTCCCCCTCCCCCTATTGAACTCAGCTCATTTTCCATTATGCATTTAGAATTAGTTTCTGCTTGGATTGATGAAGAATTGGCTTGAGCAGCTGCATTACTTTTATTCCGATAATGGTACCTTTGAGCATTTTCACAAAACGAGGAGGAGGGGGCCTCATTATTTTTAACTAGGGTAGTTTTTCTTTCAGCAGTCTTCCGTTTTGGTATAGCTTGTGTCGTGGTTGGTAAAGACTCACGCAACAGGTCTTGAATGCGGGGAACTAGAACAGAAAAAGATTAAATTAGGTCAATTCACAAACCAGTTAAGCACACAAACAAATATCATTTAAAAAGATGGGCAGAAACAAAGCATGAGATAAAGAAAAGAATGTTAAATTTAAGAAATTATGTAAAATAATAAGCTTTGCAAAAAAAGAAGAAAAATGGAATAAATTTTATGCGGATCACAGTACACATTAACCAAACAATGCAAAGCCCCTAACCCTATTTTTGAAACTCCATCTTTTAACCATCATGGTAGCAGCAAATGTTTTAACTGAAAGATTTGAAATCCTATAGTTCATTTACCAAATTGCTTTTTAGCTTCAACGTTTAACATATAAATTTTTACATGAATATTTATCAACTCTGAACCGGACTATTTTCTTTATATTCTTGTTCATTGCTATAAAAATATCACAAAATAAAATTAGTAAATATGAAAATATGATTTTTTAATAGCTCTGCATTTTAAAAGAGAAACTTAAAATTTTATTTTTCAGAAAGAATAAAAAAGTAATAGCTAAAGAAAATTATGTTTTAAGAATTTCGTAACAACATACAACTAGACATGAAATTTCCACTCATCAGCTTGCTATGGGAAATTAAATATTAGTGAGTTTTATGACGATATGATAATCAGATTTGCAGAGACGCAATGATGATGGATTGGATTGACGTTAAAAGGGGGGGAAACAAAAAAGGATAACAAAATATACTTTTGAGGAAAAGGCAATTTTAAGTTCGCCCCTCCATTCAGTTGAATTCTTTGGCTAGATTTCGGAAGGTGAGAGATGAAACTAGAAATAGCAAGTCAGTCATAAAATGTGGAGTTGGTAACCTACAACGTAATTGTCTATTAAGTCATTGATTTTAATAATTTTTAATGTTTATTTTGTGCAACCTTAAAAGAAAGAAAAATTCAGTTTTCCCATAACTCCTTAAAAAACCTATTTCCTTTTCCCAGAATTCCTGATATTCTCGGAGTGTACATACCCTGTGTAAGCAGAAACTTTCATCCATAATATGCCTAGTACTCTTAAAACTGAAACTGCATACACAACTCAACATTTTATGAAATATTTATACCACAAATTCATAAATTTCAGCATTCACTATGGGAATTCAGAATTCCTGATATTCCCGGAGTGTACATACCCGTGTAAGCAGAAACTTTCATCCATAATATGCCTAGTACTCTTAAAACTGAAATTGCATACACAACAACATTTTATGAAATATTTATACCACAAATTCATAAATTTTACTCGTGTAATAAATTGAATAAAGTAATATGTAGACCCATGATTAGATTATTAGATTATATGAACATAGGTGATTTCTCAATACTTAAGTTCATCTTATTTTGATTGGAAACCATTTAATCATTTTTACATCACATATTGAGTGTGTATGAATATTTATTTGCTCTTAGTGTCTATGGAGAACATAGATATAAATATAATTAAAATGAAAATTAGGACGATTAAAAAAGAATAAACATTAAATTTAGAAATACACTTTCAAATATTAAAAAAAAAAAAATTCTATTACCAGCTTGCACATTAGCTAAATATGAATTATTTGCTATAGTTGTAGCTTCAGAGTCTTGAGGGCAGAACATTGGAATTCCATGTGGCGGAACTCTGGGTGCCTGCAAAGTATTTTTAAAAATATTTTCAAAATCTTGCTTTGAACTGAAAAATCAATTCAATGTAACTACTAAACATAAATAAATTAATCACACAGAACTAATGGTGAGTGCTTCAATTTTCAATTCATAAGTATTCTCTACTATTGACTTTTCGAATAATCCCAGTTCCATGTGACATCGTGAGCTTTAATGATGTCACATGGAACTATGATTGTTCCCTTATAGTTTCTATGTGACATGATTCTTATTTGGATAATTCTTTTTTTCAATACTAAAATGATTCTATAATACGAAACAAACTATAATAAAGATTTATATCTTAAATAACAATTTTAAATTTAGCATTTAAAGAACATTCCTAATGGATTTACCTGTCTACCTAAATTGAACCTGTATTATCAGCACAGTATATAACATATATTACAAATTCATTTATCATTTAATTGTTTTTTTACTCAAAAAGATATAGGAGATATCTTTAGTCTTTAGAAAAATTATTCACAAACTACATGAAATGAACTTTTTAAATTTTAACAACTGAAAAAGCACTCATTTTATTTGATTCACGGAATTCGGCCATTAAGTAAAGGGGCATAGTTAAAAAAAANCAATGGAACCTCAGGAGATATCTTTAGTCTTTAGAAAAATTATTCACAAACTACATGAAATGAACTTTTTAAATTTAAACAACTGAAAAAGCACTCATTTTCTTTGATTCACGGAATTCGGCCATTAAGTAAAGGGGCATAGTTAAAAAAAAAAAAAGAAGTAGAAAACTAGTTTTGAAGATGCTAAATTTCTAAACAAGTTTTCTTTGATACTCTCTAGATTGCTACCAAATTTAACCATTTAGGTGATAGCTCTAGTTTTTTTCAAAGTTGCAGACTTTCCTACATCAAAACATTGGTTTTCTCCAAGTTATTCAACAAAACATCATAGCTGTCAACTTATTAAAAACGAAAATAGGAACACAAAGTACAATAAACCAATTAATTGTGACAGAAAGTGCAAAACCTTGAAAATTTAATGTGCAAAAAATCAAAATTAAGATATCTATTAATAAAGCATACATGTTTCACATTTGACATAATTTTTTGAACTAACTTTCAACTTAAATTACTTACTAATGAAGAATATCACACCTTTAAAGTAACTAATTCAATTAAAAACTATCTTCTTACCGAAAATCGTGATATTGGATTTTGAAATCGTATGAATATGGATCAAGATATTGCATTTCAAAAATGCGAAAATATAAATTGCAATATTGAGCTTTCAATTTGTGTAAATGTGAATCACAATGCATTGATCTTTAGATTGCGTAAATATGAGTCGAAACTTTTAAATCAGGTAAATATGAAAATTGAGGACTGATACAAAAGTTGCCATGTTAGCAGATTGCAGCGCAGTTCCAAACATTCAAAATGGTGAAAACCTGCCAAACCAAAAGAATCAATACCTCGTTAACAGGATTTAGCTAAAGTTTCAAAATTTCATCGGATTATAAAGTTCTGATTCACGAAAGTCAGAGAAAAAATTAGCTCCTGCGATATTCACAGAGAAATCATGCCCTGTGTCTAGTTTCAAGATCAGCCCTGGGTTGAAAGAAAATCAGTATAGGGAATAAAAAGGCACTAAAATACTGAAAAATCTGAACATTTTGATCTAAAATCATATTTTCGAAACAAGGCTAAAAAATCTGAACAAATACAGTCTAACCGGAATAGTTGGCAGCGATGTAGAAGTAGTGAATAGTAAGAAAATTTCAATGCACATTTGCATAGGGGTTGAGCGTTTGGAAGTTTTAAAAGCACTCTAAGTTTACAGATTTCAATCTAGAGCCTAAATAAAGTTACTGAATTTAAATTTTCATATAGTCCCAAAAGAGAAAAAGTGCTGAGAAAATAATGCTATACATGATCAATAAAAATATTTGAATTAAAAAAAAATTCAATGAATTTTGAACGCATTCTGAACATCTAACTTAATATAATCATTAAACATAATCTCAAAGATGTGAAAAATTAGTAGTGGATTTTGATCCATATTAGTCTATCTTGATTAATATATGATAAATTATTATATATATTCCACATTAATAAATCTTTTGTCCATACTAGTAAATTTTTAATAATATATGATAAATCCTATGTAAATCACATAAAATACAATTTTTTATATTAACATTATAATTTATAAAAGAGAATGATAATTTTACCTCAGAATTTTCAAGAGGTGAAGTAGGAATCTGCGATACATCAGGAGGTGGAGGAGGTGAAGTCATATTATTGGGATAATCTAGCAATAATTGCACAACAGCAGTATGACCTCCTTTTGAAGCTTCAATCAACATTGTAGAGTTGTCCTAAAAATTTACAATCAATAAATTAAAAACAAAGCATACAGTAATTTTTATCCAAATGAGAACATTGTTGAATAAAATCCTGAGTATTAAAATAACATACTTATTTATTACATATACAAAGAAAATTTGATTGAAAAGTTTTTAAAAAAAGAAAGGTCAACAAACATTCAGTGCAAAATTAATCATTTCTGAAACGAAAAATTTAAAAATTTCTTAACTGAGAAATTTATTTCTTTAATGAAGAACTAATAAAATAAGTCTTCTTTGTCGCGAAAACAGTAAGCTAGTTTCAGAGACCTGTAAGTCCAAATTTGCTGTATATAGTAGAGAACCAATTATCCAGGATGTTGGGACCATCGCTATTCCGGGTATCAGAATTTCCAGATTTTCTCGATCAGCTAAAAAGTGTTGTTTATCGATGTCTTATCGAACGCAAATTATAATTTTAAAAGAGAAAAAAAAATAAACTCTCCAAAACTTAAAAAAAAAAAAGGAAAAATGGTAGAAAAATAACATTTCAAAGAATAAACACATTTACACTTGTAAATGTGTTTATTCTTTGAAATGTTATTTTGTTAACAAGATGTTATTAATGTTAAACAAGATAAACAAGTTTAAAAAATACAAAATTCCCATATTAATTTTTTGAATATGATCAAGGATGAGGCAGATTTCTGCTTTTTCTCATTGTTTATTCCCTGTTCTTTTAGCTTCTACACATTTTAAACTTTATAATACTTTATGGTTGTTACAGACTTTGCTATCAGGTTAATAAATGGCTTTAATAATTGTTGTCAGTGGGACAAACTAAAAGAAACTGACATAAAAACTAATAATTTACCTTAAGCTTATGAGTTGGGTCAGCTCCATGAGCCAGAAGAAGCTCAACAATAGAAATGTGGCCACCAGCACAAGCCAGAGATAGAGGATTATGGTCATTATTAGCGGTCTGCTTATTGACATTGGCACCTTTGGATATCAAAAACTGCACTGTACACAGGTGACCTGCTCTAGCAGCTTTCATTAGAGGTGTACGGCCTCCTTCAGATTCATGTTCCTAAATGGAAATAAAAAGTATATGCATTAAGATATAATTCAATTATTAAGCTTGATATTATACAAATATGAAAGAAGTATTGTTAGTTCAATATGCACTAATATTTGAAAACAGCTAAAATACATAAATAACAGGTAAGAACCACAATTTCAAAAATCTGCAGATCTGGAACACCATTGAAAAATAAAGAGTTATCTGCAGAGCCCACGATTAAATATTTGTACGTTTCAATTTTTTTTCGTCTGCAAGGTAAAAATAAATCTGCAATATCTGCTACCAGTTCACATTAATTCTGCTAACAGGGTAAGCACTAACTTTAGATAATAAGAAAAACTAGATTTAATACTATATATGGACATACTTAATCAATAGATTAAAAAGACTTTTAACAAAAAGTTTGCTAGATTACAATCAGTCTACTAGATTTACTTCAATTGAGTAGTTAGCAATATAAAAGCCAAAAAATAAATAATAATAAAAAAATTACCCCTAATTGTAATTTCTCCATTAAAACTTTGTTACATGAGTTTTGCTAAAGTGAACTTTTTAAACATATTGAAAATAAATAATTCAAAAAATAACTTCCTTTGAATGAAACTTTTTATAAATTTTTCATGTTCAAACCCATACCATGAAATTTTTTATATTCATACCTAATTTTTGGAATAAATATTATCTAAATAAAAAAAAAATGATCTATACAGTAAAAAATTTAAGGTAAACTCAAAGCAATTTTGACATTCTATACATTTTTCAAAGCAATTTTTCATAATAACAAAACTTTTCAAGTATGAAACTAATTCAGCTTTTTCTTTTTCTAATCCATATTGATAGAAAAGAAAAACCGGGATAGAAGTTAAATATTGATTTTAAAATTTTGACTAGAAAAGTTTCAGACTTACAAACGAATATTGCCGCAGAAAAAGTTTTCAAGCAGTATTTTCCTTTTACTGAGTTTATGAATACTCACTAATTTTGCATGAGCTTGAAGTAACATATCAGCTACATCTGTGTGGCCATTTTCACAAGCATAAGTCAATGCAGTGTCACCTGTAGCTGTTGTCGCATTAACATTAGCACCTACAAACAAAATTGAAATTCAGTACACACTAATTTTATTGTAGTAACAACGATTCGAAAAAAGAGGATAGATAGTTGAAACTTGCCGGCTGTAATTAGGTATCTAACCAACTCGATGTGTCCTTCTTGTGCAGCTTCCATTAGTGGTGTGCTAGCCCCTAATTCAATATCTGCTGAGGCCTTGATAAGGAAATCAGCAACGTCTAAAAAGCCACCACAACAAGCTAATGTTAAAGCAGTCTCTTGTGTTTCTTCAGTCTGAGCATTGATATCGGCACCTAAAATTAAAAGTATTCTTTTAATCACTTGTACAATGGAACCTCACATTGCAGACACTCCTACTAAAAGGATGCCTTTCTTTTAACTCTCTGTGAATCTACTATGAATAAATAATTATGTAACTTCTTCGAAATGCAAACACTCTTAACTGAACAAGAAAGGAACAGTACGCTAAAGCGTTTTTAATCTTTACAAAGCAGACACTTTTTCTGAATTGGTAGGGGAAAAAAAATTTTTAAAACTATTTCGATTTCAAATTCCGTTCAAGCTGTTGATTCAAACGATTGAAACAGGTTAGTGCAATTAGGGGTAAGAAAATGACTTACATTTCTTAAGGAAAAAGCATCAATAAAGTGCGATGAAGTTTTAGAATGGGGAAAGTTTTTTTAGAAAGTTTTTTTTTCTCCTTGCTTCTGTTCCCTTCCCCCTAGTCCTGCTTACCTTCTTAATTGTTTAGGTGCCTCTGTTGGTTGAGCAGAAAAAGATTTACGATGCTCTCAGGCGACTATGTCTTTTGGACCTGATGTAGGGTTTCCTATGGGGTTGACTAACAACAAGAATGTGCTGAACAGTTGTCAATTAATATAATATTTCTTTTTTCCCCAATTAAATGGTCAAAATCAGTCAGGAATTGAGAGAAAAAAATCTATTTGCCGTCCATGCTTTTGAATTAGAATGATAAGTCACTGCTAAGCTTCTGATGCTTTGAAAACATCTCGGTTTTACCAACTTTCCGATTAAAATCAGCGTTTTTTTATCACTCCCATCACTATTTGTAATAATAAAACTCTTCCTTTAGAATTTTTGCCTCCGTGACAAGCTTCACCTTTCAGTACCAGAGTACAGTATGACAAGTATTAGTAAAAAAGGCCAATATTAACTGCAATATAAATGTCATGAGTTTTATATCCTTGAATTAATACCAGTAAACTAGACAACCAATAACACTATGATCAACAGATCTACTTTCACAACACAATTTCTTAAATTTTAACCCATGTCACTCTTTAAAGCATCAAATCCATATATTACACACTGTGAAACGTTTCATAACTTTCAGAGCAGCGATTTCTAAGGCTTTTCCTTGAAGAATCATTCCATCAATTGGAATTTATGATCCTCGAACTTGCTGATACTAGTACAGAAGAGTTTCTATATCTTAGTATGTTTATTCTGGATTCTCTCTGACAGTCTCAGTTCCATACAGTATTTATCGCATTGGAGGAAGATGAGTGACAAAACAGGAGCTTCAATCCTGCACAAACTTAAAACCCTCTCACGATTGCGTGAAGTCCACCTCCAATGGATCCCTTCTCACGTTGGGGTACTGGGCAATGACATCGCCGACACACTGGCTAAGGAGGGGACAGAAGAAACTTTGATGAGTCCAAGTTCACTCACCTTCATGGAACTGGCATCAAAAAAGAAAAAAGAAGTCAATGTTTCCTGGCTCATACCCCCTAAACATCACTGGTACAAGAGCACCCATCCAGGAGGTGCACTCAACATTCGGTGCAATCGCAAGGAACAGACGGCACTTACCAGGCTTATCAGCAGCCACCTTAAGTCCCTTTCTTTCGAGGGTAGTGTTAAAACCTACCCAAACTGACCCAGGTGCCACAACATGCAGGCTTCTCCCCAACATATCCTGGACTGTCTTGGTCTAGACAAAGGGGACATTCTGAATAACCCACTTTTGGTGGTCGACTTCCTCCGGGTTATGAGTTTCATGGATATTGTTTAGCCCTGCTAACTTTGGGGATAAGGAAGGAAGAAGAAGTATGTTTATTCTTAACCAGTTTTTTTTTCTTCTTTTTTTTGTGCAAAAGTTCCATATTTCTCAACCTGCTTCCTTATTTAATCTTTTTTTATTTTAGAAATTATAGAATTTAATGGCAAATAGTTTAAATGTTTTAGTCTTTTTCTCAAATAAATGCTTTTCTACTTCTTCAATGATATGTGAATTCTTTCTTCAACAGTATAAATTTGTTTTTTCCTTTTAGTTGCAACTTAAAAACAAACAAAAAAAACTCTGCCCAAAAAAAAAAAAGAAAATTATTTGGGTCATTCTCACAAAAAGGTGATTTTTTTAAGTCCCTTAGTAATAAATATTAGGAAATACAGCAGATTTCTTAATATTTTTCTTTATCATTTTTCGTGAAATTCTTAACTAACAAATCATATGCATTTCTGCTAAATGTATTTAATATTTCATTCCTATTTTTTAATAAACATGACTTCAAAATCCCCTCCGTGGACGTCCCCACGTCTGTAGCACAAAATAATTTTTAATGCCTGTTAAACAATTTAAATGTTATTTTAATCATTTTTGTAGTTTTACCTAGTGTAATGTGTGGCACAAATAAATAGTCCAGGTTGGAAACTATTATTTATTCAAACTCTTCGTTTCCACAACACAAACAAATACACACACACACATATTCAACACATGAAATAATATATAAAAATCTCGAGCGAGAGAACGTTCAAAAGTCTGTGTTCTCATTTCAACTTCTTCAACCCAACTCCACATCTCCTCTCCCAAAAATGGCCCCCACTCGCCAAGATAGGCGCGCTTAATTCCATAAGTGTTATAAATTATTTCTGTCTCTGTTTATTAAAATGAAGAGTTAATAATCTTACGGAATTGAAATCTTACAAACTCCTCCAACCACCAGACTTTGCCTTTCCCGATACATAGGGGAAAGCAAAGGAAGAAAAACTTTCCCTTTGGTGAAGTAAGGTAGGGAGTTCTCTCATCATCACCAGGCCATAAGATAAAATTTTACCATCTAAGGGACGTTTAGTTCTTCATATACATATGTAGATATAAGTTCAGGAGTTTGTAGAATATAGAAGGATATAAATATAATATGCATATGAAATCTTGCTAACAAAAATTTTCAACATTTATGTACATGCACTTACTACATAAAACAATTTAGTTAAATACAGAAATCTATGCAAAACATTTGATTATAAATACAAAACAATTAAATATGAATACAAAACATGTTAATATGAATATTAAACAATATAAAACATAATNCCCAATAATTAATGAATTAGTCTTCATTGACATTTTATATTTTATAACATAAAATGTCTCCTCCGTTGACTATTACATCTCCTCCGTGGACAAGGCAGAATTTAAAATATTTTAAATCTTGTAAAAAATAAAATAGAAAACTTGACCATTATTATAAGGACTTATAACAAAAATAAATAAAGGCATTTATGTAATTTTTATCGCTTTTTTAATTATTTAAATTTAAGAAATTTTTTTAGTCTATTTATACCTTTTCAGTGTAAATGACCCATTTTCTCTTTTAACCGCCACACACTTTTACCTTTGCATCACATTAAAAACATCCAGAAGTGACCTTGGTTAAATTTGTCCATTTTAACACCTTCTCTCAAAACTTTTTTTTTCAAATGTCGGAAAATTGTCTAGGTGCAAAGATTCTGTCAGTTCCAAAAAAAACAAACTTAATAGGTGTTAACATAATAAGACATCGCACAACAAAAATTATTATCGGCGCAGTCTCTTCAACTAACAACAAAAAAGCCGAACAGGAATGCGGCCTGCCTCCTCTGGAGTGCAGGTATAATCTGGACACTATTAAGTTCACCAACAAACTAAATTGCTACAATAATGATCATGTCTCCACCAGAGTGTTCAATGAATGGAAAGGTACGAAAAGGCTTAAAAGATCTTCAATGCTCCAACTTGATAGAGACATCAGGAGCCAAATAAAGTTCGAATATTCTACCCTGGACTTTTTGCAGGAGCCTCTTTTTCCCAGAAAGTTACCAAAGGAAACGAAGATTAATCTGAACCTCCTACAACCATGCTCGAAAAAAGAAGACCCACTTACATTAAGACAAAAAGGCTTGAGACGATAGAGAAGTTCTTCCAGGGTAACTTAGCAAATGTATATACGGATGGCTCATCTGATAAAACCCTCAACAAAGAAGGTGCTGGCATCCTCTTCCTTCTTCCAAATGGAGATAAAATATATGCATAAAATCAACTCAGGCTTTATTGCTTCAAACTTCACCAGTGAACTTCATGCGATTAAGGAGGCACTCACATTTTATATGGCCAATCAGGAGATTTCAGACCCAACTGAGGGATTGGTAATCTTCTCTGACTCAAAAGCGTTGTTGATTGCCTTAGAGGCAATCAACAACGGTGAAATCAACGTCATCTCTGCTATAAATGTCCTACTTGAACGCTTGCACGGCAATGGGAAATCCTGCTTGCTGCAATGGATACCGGCGCACGTGAATACTGAGGGAAACGAGTGTGCGGATTCCTTGGCCAAGGCAGGCAGAGGTGCCGACCAACCTTGCACCACCATCACGCTTGCAGACGCAAATGCAGTTGCAAGACACAGACTTCTGCCCCATTCCTTCAGGAAACCCCTCATTACCGACTTTGATTGTTCCAGAATCTTAACATCAATAATTACAAGACTAAGAACAAACCACTTTAAAGGGATGAAAATTCTTCCCTACAAAATAAGAACTTATATTCCCTGCAAGAACTGCACCGATATCCAACTTACCCCAGATCACAGTCTCGAGTGCCCAGCCCTTACCCATATGTTTTACAACTGGATATGGTCAGAACTTCGTGAGATCCTCTACAGTAATGATGTATTGGAGCTAGCGGATGCAGTTTTGAAGGCACACAAGGCCATTTAATTGTCCATGAACACGATATTAAAAAAAAAACATAATAAGAGTAACATTTGTTACGGGGCCATTAAAACAAGAATAGACCTACGGAAAAAGAACGTTGGATCAAAGTTCAACTGTATTTTTTTTTCTTATTAAGAACTGTTTTTCTATGACTCACCTTGACTTAGAAGTAAAGCAACCATCTCTTCATGTCCTTCTCTAGCTGCTTCCATTAATGGTGTATAACCTTCGTCATTAACTTCTTCAATGTTTGCCCCTCTATCGAGAAGCAACATTGCAAGCTCGACATGACCACCACAAGCAGCTAAGGTCAATGGTGATTCAAAACTGTCAGCAGGCATGTTAACCTAAAAAACGCAATTATTTTGCTCATCATAAAATTTAATCATCATAAAAATTAATATCAGAAAAGGAAACTATAAACATTAAATCAAGTTAATTCGATGAGCTACCCATAAGTTTCAATTATCCATAGTTACTAATACAAGACAGAATAACTAAACTTTAACTGGCCATAACTAAATTCTAGCATTCTTAGTTGGTTTAAGCCAATATATACAGTATGGATTATCTGTGCAACAGTTCGTAGATCTTGTACTTTCAAAGTAGACATTTAATTGTCTAATCTTAGTCTCATTAAATTTAAAAGTTTACACTACTAGTGTGAAACAAATATATTAAATTTACAAAATACAGATACGATTACATTTAAATTTATGTGATGGTAAATTTTCAAAGAAGTTGTGTGAAGAAAAAAAATTATCAAGTTAAAATGATCTGCAAGTTCAATATTAGGATTAATTATTAAAAAATATTCAAAAAATGCAAAATTCGCATTTATTTATTTTTCAAAATATTTTTTGTAGCTAATTTTCTACCTTACAAATCACAAAATTTTAAAACATTGTTAAAGGTCAAAACTTGCATTATTACTTATTGATAAATAATGAAATTATAGGAATAATAGTAGTAAGGTCAAATGGAGCAAATACGTATGCAAATAAATATACTTTACTAACAAGTGCAGAAAGTTAAGTTGCCTCATTTGTCTTAGATAGCACATTAACTTAGCTAATAATGAACTTCATAACGAACCTGCGCGCCAGAATCTAACAATAGACGAGCAACTTCCACGTGCCCATCCATCGATGCCTCCATCAATGCTGTGTGCATTTCGTCAGTCTTGTGCTCACGGTCAGCACCAGCTGCCAAAAGGAACCTAACCATTTCTAAATGACCTGTAGAAAGAAATGAACTTTAATCGAGCTGCAAAATAGATAATTTAAGACATACATTAAAATGATTAACTTCATAAAATAAGGTGAAAAACAAAAAAAACAGCTGATCCAAATAAAAAATTTAATCACCCACAGCTAACAAGTCCCAGTTAAAAGACAGTAAACATTTAGTATTTCTTTCAACTAAACTTCAAGTTATTTAGCAAAATTAAAAATACAACAATATACATAATCAAAATGTTCATTCTAAAAATAAATAGGAGAAATACAAATGCTGAATTAGAAAATAATTTGCATTTGAATAAATTTTTTATAATTTAAACAAGAGAACATTAGTTTTTGAGTTATTTTATGCCAAAATCAAGGATATTTTTAATACTGTGTGATTTCATTTAAAAAAATATATTAGAAGAAAAATTATAATTTTTCTACAGTTATGTTCTCCAAAGTTATAAACAATAAGTCCAACTAAATTTTTCAACATATTTTCGAGTAAATAAATTGTGGTTCCTTAAGAGTGAATATTAATCCACTCCAATATTTTGCTTTTCAATAGTCAGTCTTTTAGCAGGTTAAACAAGCAAGCGAAGCAACATGAACAGTTATTCATTCATAAATATTCATGCGAGGATTGGCAGGCAATAAAGAGCAGAAAGTGTAGCCTCTAATATAATGAAAATCATCAATAAAAAATATTAATTATAAAAATTGGAGTATTAAACAACTAAGGAGAAAGCAAGCAAAGTGTTCTAAAAAGACCTGAGCAGTTTTATTGCTTAGCAATAGACCTAAAAGTAACGACTCACCACGTGGCGAGTCAACACAAAAAATTGGAGACTTAAAATAAACAGGTAACTTTTTGCCGTTGATATCTTTGAAAAATAGTTTAATGATAAAAATTACTTAAACTTAGAAAGAGACTCTGGAAAACAGAATTTTCATTAAAATGATCACTGTCACCATTCAAAATTTTGATCCTTCAGAATCTATCAATTTGTGGTGGTAAAATTAAGGTGAATGAAAAGTTGTAATGTATTCATTAAATGAATTTTGTCAGTAAGTTCAATTAAGTTTTGACACATATTTATATTACTTTTATTGTTGAATTAACTTTTTATAGCCAAAGATTATTTCTAATATGGATTTATTTATTTTTAATCAAATTTAATCCATATAAAAAATTTTTTTGCAAAGTGGCAATTAAATTAAAAGGATCAGACACCAACTAATTAGGTTTCAAAAAAAAAGTGACTATGAAGTCATTGGAATCTATCAGCCACTGGGGTTACCAACTGAAAATTTAGTTGGCAAGTAAGAGAGAGCAAGGCTCAAGCTCCCTAGTATTTTTACCTTGATAGTGGTACTCATAAAGTAGTACTTACATTACTAACACAATGTTTTAAATAGGGCGACCTGTCCTATCTGACCTTTGATCCCTATAAATGTGTCCTTTTTGTGAAAATAAGCGCTATCCCTTAAAAGAACTGCCTTTTTACTCATATTCCATTTTTAAAAATTAATAACTCACTGTTTAAATAATAATTACAGACAGGTAAAATTATATGTGATTATAGGTTTAATTCTGATTACTATTGCAAATATTTATTTGTTAGGGTTATTCTTAATTGGTTAAATTTTCAAAAGTTTCTCTTTTTTTCAAGGAGTATATTAATGAATGTTTTAAGTTATTTTAAGTTATTTTAAATTATTTTTTAAATAAATATTTTTTTTAAAAAAATGCACTTTTATATGTTTATTTCTTCATAATTTTCAGATTGAATTATAAAAAAAGCTTTCAAGTTGTTTATCAATTAGCAAATTTTTCTTCAGTTTACTTTTTTATGAAAAAAATTTTTGCTCAGAGATTGTCTTTTAACATAATTTTTATAAACTACAAAATATTTGTTTATGATGTTTTAGAATTACTTTTGAGATATATATATATATATATAAAATAAAAAGGGTTAAGTTAAAAATTATTGAGGATCAAATTCAGTTATTACATAATATTACACAATTTAATTAATTTTTACAGTGTTAAGTGAGTGCCCTTTTCTGTGAGAAAGTGCCCTGACTTTTTTTATTCCTAGGAAGAGCTCTGACTAAAAAGTTTCTCTAGATAGCTGTACTCCTTTGCTACCAATGTGAAAAAATTATTTGTAGATAGCTGCATGTAAATCTAAACGGTTGATTCCATTGATTTTTTAAAATTGACTTATGATTTTGGAGGTTCTACTATACATTTCTATGTATGAAATGTATATGTCTGTCTATGTACTGAAATGCATTTCACATTTCAGTAACATTAAAATCTCTAATGTATTAATATCTAATTATAAAACTGAATAAATAAGAAACAGCAAACCTTTGTAACAGGCCAAAGTGAGAGCGCTTTCCTTAAACTCATTAGAATGTGTATTTATGCTAGCCCCTCTTTCAACCAGAAGTTTTGCAACTTCTACATGACCAGCACTGGCAGCCTCCATTAAAGGTGTATGACCATTTTCATTGTGATCTTCCACTCTAGCACCAGCATCAAGTAAAACCCTCACAATATCTTCATGGCCTGCTGCACATGCAAACATCAGCGGCGTATTACCTTCCGGACAAACTATAGGTGGCATAGCACCATGCATCTCCTGCTGAGCTTTCATGTTGATTTCTTGATTTTTTACTTTGGAACTTTTCAATTTTTTCTCTGAAATACATATGCATGTGTTATTACCTACTACTGAACAGTATTTACGTATTTAAGAAACAATGAATTAAAATTAGAACCTTGAGATGTTTGGGCATTAACATCAGCCCCATGCTGAATTAGTAGTTTAACTATATCTAGATGTCCAGCATTTGCAGCCTCCATTAAAGGTGTCATGTCTTTCAAACCTCTATCCTCCACATTAGCTTTCATCGCAAGCAGTAACTAATAATATAAATTATTTATTATTAAAATATAAATAAAGAAATTATAAAACAAAAAAGCTTATCCAATTAATGACAGATAATATCAAGCAAACTAAGAGGACAACCATTGGTGTCTTATATCTAAGATTTAGTATATGCTTGAAGAAAACAAATTTTGGCAAAATTGGAAACTATTGAAAGCTGAGTTAAATAAAGATTAACTTGTGATCTTATATAAATGCTTTAAAAATACTGATAACAGCAATTTTTTTTTTTTTTAATTTTTAATCATAGGTTTTGTCAATTCTTCTCAATCCAGCACCAGCTAGATCAAATTCAAGCACCAAATGTGCGTGTAAGGATAAGTCTGAGTTCTAGATTCATACAACTAAGAATATGATCTGCAAGACTGATCATGAACTCATGAAGATAAGAGGAGGGCAGTGTTTTCAGTTCAAAAGACCAGAAGAAAGAAGACTGATTAGCTCCTTTGCCTATATGCTTTAGCTGGGCATAATGGAATGGCCTTCAAATCTCGGATGGCCCTACCAGGATATAACTTCCGACGTACTTTGTCCATTCCACCTAGTGGCATCCATGCGCCACGATGAGGCAGCAAATAGGACTTACGAGTTTAATTTCCACACAACAAATATATGATTACTTTTTATTTCCAAGTGCACTCCTTTTAAAATACTTCATACATAAATTTTGTAATGAATTTTTTCTCACAAAAATATAAAAAATTAATTTCTTAAAAAAAAAAAAACTATTTCAATTAAAGATTGGGGTACCTTATATTTAAAATTGAATTGTAGAGTTTAGTGGTCAAGTGCCAAATTTGCTATACTGTGAAAAATGTCACTATATATTCTAGATAAAACACAGTTATATAAACTGCACCAATTTTACAAACATTTGTAGATTCAAATGAACTTTCAGCTTACTGTGCAAAATATCCTCAATTCGAAAATCTATCTGATGTCATAAAGCATAAAAATATCATTATTCTTTGTTTTGTTTTATTTTATCATTGTCTTGTAAACTGTTCATGCACTGGACAACATAATGATGAAGGACCTGACTTGTGTTTATACAAGCCATAGACTTGTTATTCTAATACAAGACCAAAATTACATCATACAAGCCATAGACTAGTTATTCTAATAAAAGACCAAAATTACATCTTGGTGAAATTATCTTTACTGGTGATTTCAAATACATTTCTTACATGGTTTTTCTATTGTTCCCTCAAAATTTAATTTTATTTTGCATTTTTTATGCAAGCAATTACAAATGAAAGTTGAAATAGAAAGATAAAATTATCCCTTGAGATGGACAATTTAGCGTAACAGACCCATATGCGGCTCTCGTATTGTCCATGCTTAAAATAGAATAAAAGACAGAACAGGTTAAGCCAAAATGAAATAAAAATTTACCTGAGCAAGTTCATAATAGCCAGAAGAACATGCTAACGACAATAGACTTTCACCTTCTTCAGTCACTTCATTAATATTCTTGCCTTCACTGAGCAGCTTTTTTACAGTTGTAATATCACCATGACTGCAAGCTTCAGCAAGTGTAGAACTAAAGTGATGTTCATTTATCAATATTTATTATTTTTCATTTCACACTAAAATTGTATTTTAAATATACTACAAAATAAATTAAATAAATAACATAATTGTCTATTGTTGAAAATACTATACATTGAAGGAAAAGCATAATGAACTTATTCTATTTTTCTCCTTTACTCTTTTATAGGAGGGGGAGAAAAATGGAGTTTAGGTAGGATTGAAGTAGGTGTTATATGCAAATTAACTTTAATTTTTACAGAGTGACATTGGTAAAAAACCAATGCGTGATATAGATAGACGACATGATTATATTTCTTATCTAGCATAATATTTAAAATAGTGAACCATTAAGTATGCTTTCATTACAGTTAAAAATTCAGCATGGAGTTGGAGTAATTAATACATGCGTAAAAATAGACAAAATATAAAAATGCATTATTTTTATATTAAAAATTAATCATTTTAAAATGCATAATCAAAATAAAAGTAGGTTAAGACAACACAATACATTTAAACTGAAATGTCACCTTTTTTGTGTTGCATATATAACATATTTTTTGGTAGATAGGATTTGTCAACTTAGAAATAGTGCACTGGGGAGATTAAAAGGCAATAGAAATATAAAGTTACCTAACTAACAAATTTAATTAAAAAACTAACTTAACTAAAATAAATTGTTATATGCCTATTTGAGAAATATTAGAAAGGCATCAGGAATATATCCTGAGTTAAAAAATTACAATGACACAAATTAAATAAAATTATATTTAAAAAAATCCATCCCCCTTTTTTTTAATGCTGCCTTGGAGATTTACAGCATAATTGCCATACTAAAGTGTGTATACAATGTCTCTAAAAGTTGCACCACCTGTCTCAAATACAGTTTTACATAAAAATTTATAACATATCATTTCATATTATAATTAATAATTATATTATATATAATTTATATACTTCAGGAAAAATTCTACACATTATTTTACAAACTGAATAAAGATTAGAAAAGATAAGACAAGAATTTAGACAAGATTTAATTGAAAAAAGATTTTTAAAAAAAAAAAAAAACTCGGTTATAGGAAGAAAAGTTAAGAATGGTGTCTAACGCTAATAAAATAATTTAACTAGAGACAATTGTTTAAAATCACCAAGAAATGCACAGACATATTGTGACAGAACAGGAAAAAGTGACCAAGTCAATATCTAGTAAAAGATTATGTGTTAGTCATTTAACCATGTGTAATCTTTTGAGGAAAAGAGGGAGCTGAATCTAATACCCATAGCCGTTAGCAACATACCAATGCTATATTGACATGAGACCAGATGACATTTTTTTTGAAAAAAAAAGGGGACAGACATATAAAGACTTAATAACTCACTTCTGCCAACAACTGACTAAGTCAATATTGGTAATATACTCAATGTACTGTAACAAGAATTCCATAATGACAAATGTTTTGAGGGTATTATCAAGAATTAATAAGAAACTTCCATTATCTTAAATGTCAAATAATTTTATTTTACAAACTGCAAAAAATATATAATTGTAATTGTCAACATAAAAAAAATAAAAACTATTAACACTATATAAAATTTTTATTGTGCTATGGTTATAAGTTATTCTGCAAGGATACAGATCTTAATAGTTCACCTCTAAATGAAAATTTTTCTGCAGAGGATTTCATTGTTCTGTGGTGTACCTTGCTGTCTTTTTAAGAAAAATAAAATCGCCAGAACCCCTTTCCACTTAAAGAAAAGCTACAAAAGCTGAGATAAATATATTTAAACAATTAAAAAAATTATCACTTTCTAGAACAGTGCTTTAATCAAACAATATCTAAAAGCATATACGAAAGAAGAAAAAAGTTAATGAAAAGCATAACAGAGAGTGGTGGGATAGTCTGTAAAAAATAAATTCTGTTTCTAAGTCATTAGTTTTCCTAAACATTAAGTTTGACAGACATATCATTTTACCTAAAGTGAAATTAACAAATAATTAATAAACTATTTTCAGATACTTAATAGCATTTTGATTTTACGCTTAGCATTTTAAGTCAACGTTTTAAGTTAGTTTATTCTACTGAGCTACAATAACAAGCAATTTATATTATTGAGCAAGAATAAATGCATTTCTTTTATTGATATTAATTTCGCATAAAAAATTTAAACACAGAAAATTCACTGGTTTAGTAAGCATTTATGAAAAAAAATTCTCACAATCACTCTTTTGACAAAAACACAAGACTTCACACAAATTTCACAGCTACTAAAAAAATAAAATGCAAATATACATTACAAGCATTGTAAACAAGCACAAAAATTACATGGAATACAAACGCTGTTATTATTAGATCAAACATTATTAATGAGAAATTAAAAAAGTTTTCCAGTGTAGAAGGATGTATGAGAGGTCTGAGAAGCATATTGATCCTAGATAACTGAACTTGAATATAAGTTACTCTTTAACTAATCATTTGATTCATAGACTACAATTTGAAAATTTTTATTTTATACATTTATATATATTATCCAAAGCAATTTAATGTGGATGATGGGAAAGACTTACATTTTTTAAAATTATAGATGGAAGTTGAAAGTTATAAATATTTGAAACTTAAAATGTTAAAGTAACCCAAAACTGAAAAAAGATAGTAGTCTATGAAACAATTCCTTAGTTATCTTGAGTTAAATATATATGTATAAATGATGAGGTTTAAGAAAGATATATTCTGAACAATACTTACAGTTTAAAAAAAAAAACATGGGGACAAACAAACTGTAAAGCATAGAATGAACGCAAGCTCACAACCAGTTTCATAAGGTATAATAAAGCGTTTTAAAAAAATTAAATCAGTTTCCGGACATAAAACGTTTAAAAAATTAAGCCAGGAATAATTTGACTTCAGCATGTAGTTTGTAAATTAAAGTAAAATAGTTATTAACTTTAAAGCGATAATATTTAAAATTAAATAACCGGACCATGAAAAAATCTATTTAAATATTTTTTTCACAATCAAATAAATGATTAAGTCTTCCAGTTAAACTCGTTAGTTGGCATGTAGTATCCTATCAATTAAATGTCCTGACACATTCATTATTTGTTTAAATATATTAAAATAATTACAAGCATGCTGTTAAGAATGAAAAAACAAATCAGCCAATTTGATTCACGATAACAAAACTGTCTTTAAACGAAACAGCATTGTCCGAACCCTCGCATGAATGCATGTTTATTAACAAATGCAACCTACCATGGTCTCATTCGACTAAGGATAACCGCAGCTTCGTCTAAAGCACAATTTACAGTGGAAGACAACTTCTTCAAAACCTCCTGATTTGTTAATAAGTCATCCGAAAAAGCAATCATTTCGAAACCTGAAATAAAAGTTATGTTAAAAATAAAGAAAAACTAATCATTTTAATACCTTGTTCGAAACTTTCCCCAATACAGCCTCTCGGCACAATGTTCTAAATTTTTTTCACACAGACCATCACCTGTTCTCAGGAAAAAAAAACATGATATACATAAGGAGAGGAAAGATTATTAAGTAAATAAGTCTTTAATCAATTATTTTAATAACTTAATTCTTAAGCTATTTGCTCTTTTCAAAAATTTTTAATAATTAAATATAAAAATTGTTTCACATACTAAACTACAACATAAAAGAATATAAGATATTAAGCATTAAAAAATATTTAAAATAATCAGAGCTAAAACACATATAAGGAATACTGCTCGTACTCATAGTGTTATCAAATAAAAATTATAGAGACTAAATTCATTCCTCAATAATTTTTGAGTGAAATTTAAAATAGAAAGGTTAACTTAACAGAAAAATTTAAAAGATTCCAGCATAATTTTATCAATAAAGCATTGAACACTTAATAATTTTTAAATAATCTATCAATTTATTAAAAGTCTTCATACTAATATTAAATTTAAAATTTATAATCTAGTTTAAAACCTCTCTAATGATATAGTTTTAAAGCGGAGTTGCATTATAGTGTATTACAATTAATTTTACAGGGAATATGCCAGATTACAGTTGTGTAATTTAGTGGAATTTAGTTTATTCGTCATTAAAAAGAATTCTATGATATGATTGCTGAAATCAGTGATGAAAATTCTATGATATGATTACTGAAATCTGTGATGAAAATTCTATGATATGATTACTGAAATCTGTGATTAAAATTCTATGATATGATAGGAATTAATCATTTTTAAAATGGGAAGAAAGATAAATCAATAATTGTGAATATTAAAAAAAGAAAAGAAACTATCCTATGCAGATTTGAGACACAAAAATCTGGAATATCAATACAATAAGCTAATAATAAAGGCAATTAGGAGAATATATTTTTTATCAGGAAAATCAATACCAAGATAGCTAAGAACCCTATTTACGAGTATTTTCACTCGTTACGAAATTTTTGAGATAAACTCGAATCTTGATGCAAATTGACTTACTTAACCTATAAGTTATTTCATTAAATATCAAAATTAGAACCAAAACAATTTCAGGGAGAAACTTAAGTTTGGGACCAATTAAAATAATAACCTGGAATAGTTCAAGTTTTTACTGGTCACAAAAAATATAATATGGTAGCTGTCCCCTCTAGCATACAGACCCTTTTATTTCTGAATTACTATATACAATGGTCCCTCATTGTTGCTACTTTGTTTAAGATCTATAGCTAATGTGCTAAATTTATGGCTTTCCTCATTTCCTAATAGGTATAAATATAAGAACAATGCAAAGTTCTCATTAAGTAATGCAGAAAAATACCCTTTTCTCTTTTTAAGTATTAATTAAATTTTCAAAATTTGTATATCAAAGCAATAAAGCCAAAACTTAATTTTTATAAGTCAATTTTTGTTTAATGTTTTTATACTGTTTATTCATAAGTTGTTCACTGTGCAAATCAACTTTTTGAAATATTAATAAATGTTCAAAATTATCAACGCCTCTAAATGAAAAAAAAATTATTAAAAATTAAATTAAGTTTCAAATTTAATGTACTTCATTTTGTTTCATTAATCAATTTTATCAGGATATCGGGTCTGATAGGACTGATATAATTATATNTTGAAATATTAGTAAATGTTCAAAATTATCAACGCCTCTAAATGAAAAAAAAATTATTAAAAATTAAATTAAGTTTCAAATTTAATGTACTTCATTTTATCACATTTTCTACATTTTGTTTCATTAATCAATTTTATCAGGATATCAGGTCTGATAGGACTGATATAATTATATTAATACTGTTCATTATAAATAATTGTCAAAAACAGCTTTTTAAAGAAACTTTTAAAAGAGAACTTTAAAAATAAAAATAAAATACGGACTTATAGGTTACCTCAGAAAATTTAATTGAAATGCTAAAAGGAATTATTCAGGGAAAATAAAATGATATGAAAGATCAAATTATTTTATTAAAGATCAAATTAATCACATTCTCTGATATTTCTTGTTCCTAATTCTTCTGTTCTGTGGTCACCCAAACTTAAAAATATGAAAGATGCATAAAGTAGTGGAAACTTTCACGTTAGGAAGAATACAGGAAGAAATTTGAATTACATTTTACTGCACATTATAAAATTAAAATAAAAAATAACAAATTTATTAATTTATTACACTACTTTAATAATCAATAATTTAAGATTTCAAATGGCCTGAAAATAATTGATGAGTAACAAATGGAGCATTTACAAAAAACTAAGAGAAACATTTGTATTCGTCTTAACTTAACAGTTGGGCTGAAAAGTTCGTAGGCTAACATAGAAAAAAGAATTTCTTTGATAAAATTTCGTTTTGTTATTCAATATAGTTTCCTTCAAGGGCGATACAATGATTATAGCTGTCATATAATTTTTCGATACCATTTTTATAGTACGATTTATCTTTAGCCTCAAAATAGGCCTTAGCTTCGGTGATTACTTCTTCATCGGCGCTAAATTTCTATCCAGCGAGTATTCTCTTGAGGTCTAAGAACAGGAAAAAATAGCTGGGGACCAGATCTGGAGAATACGGTGGATGCGGAAGCAATTCGAAGCCCAATTCATATAATTTTGCCATCGTTTTCATTGACTTGTGACACGGTGCATTGTCTTGATGAAACAGCACTTTCTTCTTCTTCAAATGGGGCCGTTTCTCTGCGATTTCGTAGTTCAAACGCTCCAATAACGCTATGTAATAGTCGCTGTTGATGATTTTTCCCTTTTCAAGATAGTCAATGAATATTATACCATGAGTATCCCAAAATACTGATGCTGTAACTTTGCCAGCTGACTGTTGCGTCTTTCCACGGTTTGAAGTTGGTTCTTCTCGTGCAGTTCACTCGGCTGACGGTCGATTGAACTCCAGTGTGAAATTATGGAGCCATGTTTCACCCATTGTCACATATCGACGCATCAATTCGGGTTCATTACGATTAAACAGCTTCAAACACAGCTCAGAATCGTCAATTCGTTGTTGTTTATGGTCGATTGCGAGCTCATGCGGCACCCACTTTGCCTACAGCTTTCGCGTACCCAAATATTCATTCACGATATGTCCAACACGTTCCTTTGATATCTTTAGAGTCTCAGATATTTTGATCAACTTCACTTTACGGTAATCTAAAATTATTTTGTGGACTTTTTTGATGTTTTCGTCGGTAACAGCCTCTTTGGGGCGTCCACTGTGTGCATCGTCGTCGGTGCTCATTTTGCCTCGTTTAAACTTAGCAAACCACTTCTGAATGGTTGATTTTCCTGGTACAGAGTCCGAATAATGTTTCTCAAGCCTAGCCTTGACTTCAAGAGTATTTGTTTCGCTAAAAAGCAATGCTTTATAAACACAAGAAATTCCTTTTTATCCATTGCTTTTAAACTAACAAAAGTTGCTTCATTAAAAATACGATATCTCACAAACTAATTGTCCGACTGCTGTCAAATTTATACACGTGTCTTTCGAAGGTTAGAACTAACTAGAAATCATATGTATTTAATAATAGTAGCCCCATCGATGTGTCAGCCTACGAACTTTTCAGCCCACCTGTTAGAAGCATTTGTATAAATAAACAAAAAAGACATTCATTTGAAATTAAGAAAGATACTTCATTCAGGGTGGCCACTCAAAACAGATTTCAAATTTCCCTGATTTTTCCAGGTTTTCCAGGTAAAAATCTTAAAATTTCCAGGTTTGTGTTTTTTTCCTTTTTTCTTATAAAGTGTAGGATGTGTACAAGAAAAGTGTCTGTATTATAAAATATCTTATTCAAAATGTCATTTTTTTAAACATATCTTGAAAAAAAATTAATTTTCTTACAGGATATTTTTTCATTATTTTTTAATGTTCTGGTACAACATTAATTTTTAAAAAATTAAGACGTGGAGACAATAATATGTTTAGCTAGCAGAATATATTGTTTTTATTGAATAATTTAAATTTTTTTTATTGGATTTAATGTGTTACTTTAAGTAGTATTTGCTCAAAGTGTAGCTACAAAATGACAAAATCAGAATAACCAATAAAAGCTTGGATAAGTATTGTTTAATATATTTTCATTAAGGAAAAGAAAACCGTTTCAGGTGATTATATATCAATAATTTTTAATAATTACAGTGGCTCCCAAAAGTGCTCACTCACTTATAACTTATATTGAAATAGGTAATAAAAATTCAATAATTAAAATGAATATTTCACAATGGGTTTTTGATAATAAGATGTATAATCTATTCTTAGCAAAAATGCACGGAATATTTTAAAAACAAAACAAAAGTTAATTTTTTAATCAAATATTAACAAAAATGTTACATCACGAAAGTCATCGTACATTTAAATGTTTTGGATCTTAGAATTAAAATTATCGTCAATTGATTTTTTTATTTAATTATTTTTCATTAAGTTTTTCATTTCTTTATTAGCAATTTAGTATAAAAAATATAATAGCAAAATTATATTCTAATTTCTGCTTGTTAACTCCGTAATGTTTTATTTTATCATTTAAAAATGACTTGTAGTCGTAATAAAATAGACCAAATTTGATTATTTGTCTTCATAAGAGGTAAATCAGTAATGAATATGTTAAATTAGTTTACTGTATTCAATTGAACTGTACAATATGTGATAAAATGCTTAAAAGAAGGACTTTAAATCAGAGATTAAAATCATAAATTTTGTGGAAAAATTCATAAATTTGCAATTGAGTGTTGTAAAAGTTTCTGTAAAAATTTTAAAAAAATATTCTGCACGAATTTCACCTGACAAAAAAAAACTAGTTACACGTATTTTCAACCTTTAAAAGCTATTGTAGATGATAAAGTAAACTCCGCTAAATGTTAATTTAACGAAAAATTAGATTACTAATAGACTGAGTTTTTTCTT